ATTTTCAAGAAAAGATAATTCAGCTTATAAATTTACTAAACATAAAGATTGTTTGGGGAAGTGCAATATAAACATTACAGAATAATAGGAACATCACTTCTTTAATAAAAAGAACAAGATGTGTTTGTGACACAAATATACAATATAAACAAAAATTGATAAGATTAATCTTTTGAGCAGGATGTAAATTTATTATATTGGTAACAAAATGTTGAAACTGGAAATACAATTACAAAACAAAAACACAATCACCATCTGTTGCCATCAAAAATGGCCAGGCTAAAACAAAATAACAAAATCTTCAAGATCAAGGTCAGAAGGTCAAGGTTATTGGTATCCAACGAAAGATCTTTACACAAAGATCACATTTTTAAAGTATGGAAACCCTAGCCCCAACCATTCAAAAGTTATGGCTAAGGTTAAAAAGATTTTAATAGTAAGTTACACTTCAAGATCAAGGTCAGAAGGTCAAGGTTATTGGTAATGAATGAAAGTTCTTGTCACAAGAATTACAAGTAGTATGAAAGCCCTAGTCTTTACTCTTCAAAACTAATTACCAAGGTTATTTTTTGTTTTCTTAAGTCCGAAAATCTATTAGGTCAAGGTCAAAAAGTCAAGGTTATTGGTATCCAATAAATGCGCTTGCTACAAAAAATACATATGTGAAATATGGATAGTCTAGCCCTTACCTTTCAAAAGTCATGGCCGAGGTTAAGATTTTTTAAAAGTAGGTCAAAAACTAAGGTCAAAGGGTCAAAAGTCTTGATATTAAATGAAAGGTCTTGTCACAAGGATTTAATATCTAAAGTATGAAAGCACTAACTCTTACCCTTTAAAAGTTATGGTCAAGGTTTTTTTTAAAAGAAGGTCAAACTCCAAGGTCAAAGTCAAAGTGTAAAAGCTCTTGATATCCAATGAAGCGTCTTCTTACAAGGATTAATTATGTGAAGTATAAAAGCTCTCGACATTACCGTTCAAAAGCTATTGCCGTGGTTAAATATTTTTCATTAGTACGTAAATTTCCAAGGTCAAAAGGTCAAGGTTGGTGGTATCCAGTATAAGGTCGTGCCACAAAAATATATATTTGAAGTATAAATGTCCTGGTTTCTACTGTTCAAAAGTAATGGCCAGAGAAAAAATATGAATTTTTTGTGTAAAAGTGGGTCAAATTTCAAGGTCAAGGTCAAAAGGTCAAATTTTGTGGAACGCAAAGAAAAGTCTTGTCAAAAGGAACACACATATGAAATATGAAAGTTACAGCTCCACTAATTCAAAAGTTATGGACAAGATTTATTTATTTATTTATTTATGCCCCGTAAACGCTGCTGTCGTTGAGGTATGGAATAGTTTTTGTCCTAGTATATATATATATATATATATATATATATATAATAAAAAACTTTAGAAACACAGACCAATAGCTAGAAAGTGTTTTAAAGATTTTTTATTGTATTGACAAAAAGAGAGTGGATATATATATATATATATATATATATATATATATATATATATATATATATATATATATATATATATATATATATATATATATATATATATATATATATATATATATATATATATATATATATATATATACAACAAATATTGATAGCTGCACAAATATGTCTGAACCTACACTCTAAATTTGACTGTTTAGTAATAAATGCAAAATGTTGAAAACAAGAAAGAACAGACATAAAACATAACCACAAGAAATCTGAAGTAATATATGTTGCAAATTGTTTTTTAAAACACTTTATGTGCTTAAGGTTTGACAAATCGACTGAGCATGTTTTTGTTAAAAGCAGACAAAAGCGAATAACATCATGTAGAAGTTAAATATGTCATTTATTAAGGTCATCCCTGTCGAAGGCGACATGTCGAAAAAAAAGTTTACAATTGCTCCAAAACTGTGTGTGATATAGAGAAAACTTTACAGTTTTTAAATATATCACTGATTAATAGATAGAAAGTATTACTTGATAACAAATATTTTTGAAAAGATGCTTGAGAGAGATGAGGGAAAATTGTAGGCCAGAAAATGTGCATATTTAAAAAAAATGCACCTGCTTAATTCTGTCCTTTTTGTGAAAACAAACATTGTAGAAATAATATATGTTTATCATTGAAGGGCAAGTTGGCTGTGAATTGTCTCTGAAAGGCTGTTATTTAAAGTATGACATGTATAAAGACAAGACCCCTATAGAATCCGCCATTTGCAGTGTACTTTCACTTTCAAGTCTTAACATTTGGACAAAATAAACAGGGAAAACATCTTTCCAGAGGCTATCCAAGTCCAACTTACCCTTCATTGATAAACACATTTTGTTTCTGCAATGATGGTTTTCACTAAAAGCACAGAATTAATTAGGTGTATTTTTTGAAAATATATGCATTTTTAAGTGTTGAATTTGACACATTAATATTATTCCAAGTATTTTTTTTTATGAAGTGATACTTTCTATCTGTTAATCAATAAAAAAATTATAAAGTGTAAAAGTTTTAACTATATACCTTACATAGTTTTGGGGCTATTGTAAAAATAAATTTTATTTGATGTTTTGACCTTTGACGAAACCTGAACAAACTAAAAGACAAGAAGTAAAACTTTGGTTTACATAATGGGAGGGGGTACATTAATGAAAGAAATACATTTTGAAATGATATAAAAGTAGGCAAAGTATTGCACAATCTGACCCAGGCTAGCACCATAATGATATTGTGTGAACCAATGACATGGAAAATTTGTTCTTTATTTAGTTTAATTAGGTTTAATCAAATTTATCATGAAAACAACTAGTGATCGTATAGTCGGCGAAGACCGTGGACACCCATCGTAAAATGGTTCGTGATCGTATAATGTCTCTCCATCCCAGAACGTTTTTGAAGAGCCCCCGCCATTCTGAGAAGTCCATTTGTCCATTTTGAGAGCGCCTGGTAAAGTTACACTGTCATTTTCATAATGTACAATACATAATACTCATTTACATATTAAACAAACAAATCAAATTATGGTGCTGCATGGTGGTGAGCAGTACCTGGAATCTATTGACCATTATACCAAAGGCATTTTCTACCACTCTCCTTGCCCTTGATAATCTGTAATTATAATATAAATATCCCTGGTCAGGTTCTTCGCGCTGTATGGCTTCATCAGGTATGTTCAAAAGGAGAAAGCATCATCACCCACAATGAAGTAGGGAACATCTTGTGTGTCATTGGGAAGGGGGTCTGGACGTGGCCAACCCGTGATGTTGCACTTTCTAGACCTTGCTTCAGCTCACTGTGGTTGTAGATTTGGGCAAAAGATGCAGCGCCATTTCCTGATACGTCAGCCCAGAGGAATTTGTAGTCGGAACTGACCATGCCAAACAGTATGATGCTGAAGAATCCCTTGTAGTTGTAGTATTCCGACCCTGTGTTGGGGGGAGCCTTGCATGCCACATGCTTGCCATCAATGGCACCAATGGTGTGAGGGAAGTTCCACCTCTGCAGCCAGTCATCAGCAATTTGCCGCCATTCTTCTTCGGTGGTTGGGCAAGTCATCTGCTCATCAAAACTCTGTCCACTATGGCCTCACATAGGTACACAACTTTGCTTATGGTGTTGTGTGGCACCCCCCATTAAAAACACATGTCCCTGTATTTTATAAAAGGCCAGGTAAAATGGGTTACTGCCACCTTAAAAAAAATGGCTCCAAGTTAGGTCTGAAGTTGGTTTGTTCCACAAATCAGTCAGAGAGTGAGCCGGTTCACCACTTCGTCAAACATGCTGGGGACATTCTCATGAAATTGTGAAAGGCATGTGTGATCTTATGTTGTACGCAGCTCTAAAATCAGCTTATTGTACATGCCAAGGTCCAGTCTTCTATCAATCCATGGTCTCACCCAAACAGCTCTATGATTTCTATATAGCCTTCTTCTCCTCCTCTGCATCAATTGCTGAACTTGGAAAAGTTGATTGTTATGTTGTTGGATGGCAGCAACTATCAAACTTTCGAGGATCCATAACTAAAAATCCACAGCTACACTGGCAATGACTATAATATGTAAAAATTTCTGCTACTTTATATAGTACTTGGGTTTACGTGAAGTGTTTGTTATGCACTCGCAATTTGTTCGTAAATCAGATGCAAAGCAGACGTTATACAAACGCATTATTTGTGGTCAGATCCGTATGCATTCGCTACGAATTATTTTAGTTCGTTATATGGACGTGATATACGCTATATATCCGTTTTACACACTGTCCCAGTCCACTGCCAAACCGCAATACCACGTCAGTTGCGGATATCGGAAACCAGCGGATATACAGCGCAAAGACCGAGTATATTTTGCGTATGCATTGCGTATGTATTGCATATGCAAGGCGGATGTCATCCGCAATCAAAATTTTGAGCAGCTCAAAAATCCTGGCAACGGAAAAACGTGCCTTTGCGGATAATTGCGAACGTGTACGGATGTCGGCCGACTCATACAAGCATGTTTCACGAATATTGCGAATGTTTAGCGAATATAAACCAATTTTGTGCGCAGTTCATACGCAAATCTTCCTTAACGCCAGTGGGACCGGGCCTTTAAATGAATTTTGTCCTTTGTAATTTTTTTTATACATTTAGTTCCACAATATCTTTGGGAATATTATCAATTTCACAACTTCTACAACTACACTGTAACAATCACACCAAGGACTTCTGCGGGAGAAGCAAGCATCAGCCGACAATTTCCATTCTCAACACAGCCTAGTGGAAGTAAGCAAGGGATAGTCTTAAAACACACAGTTTATATACATTTGTAGGATGTTCTTGTTTGCTATTTTATTTATCTGTTAACACGACTGAAATGAAAAAAGAAATAGCACCCATACGAAATCACAAAATTTTGAAATTACGTTAAACTTACAAGATTTATACATAAACAAAATCAAGGCATAAACTTTTTTCTGGACTTAAACATCTTGTACTACATGCACAGATTCTATGTAACGTTTATTTTCAGGACTTGGTAGACCACAGAATCTGAAGATAAAGAATTTGCGTTGCGACAGTGTTCAAATTGCTTGGGAAGAAGCTAATGTAGAGGATAGAAATGGGCCTATTACAGGATATAAATTTCAAAATACTTTGGGTGTAAGTTTGCGTTGAATTATATTAATCGACAGTTATTTTTTACAATTTATACATGTAGCTTATTAAATTATTTTATAATTGTTCCAGTTGAATTCTTTGGGGCATATTTTTCGTTTTATTTGCCTAAATTACATGATATATCAAAAAGAAAATTTCGTGTAACTAGTAAAGAATTGGAAGAAAAATAAATCCTTTTTTTCGCAAGATTTCTTTAGCTACAATTTACTTCATTCGATAATGACTAATTTTAAAAGTGGTTATTTGTTACTTTTGTTTTTGTATAGATGTATAACCTATCACATAAGAAGCATACAATGTACATTTTTAGCTTTGGAACACAAGATTAAATTTATCACAGCCACAGGAATGGACATTTACAGTGTCTAACCCCGATTTTTGGTCCATTTCCAATAGAGAATTTACGTATTCTTTAAGAGTTCAGGAAAAATCTCGATATTCTATAGCGGTAAGTTTTAACAGATATCAATGTAGTGTTTAAAATACGTACACATTAAAATATATAAGTATAATTAAGATCAATCTAATTAGATTGACTTAAGATATATTAGGAGGTTAGGAGCTTAAAATGTCCATATAACAACTTCAGTATCTGAAATTTTAAAATATATTTGTAATATATTCCATTAAATATAAAATATTAAAGTATACTTGTAATATATATATATATATATATTTTATATATATATATATATATATAATCTTAATATATATACTGTATACAGGGTTATTTTCGGCCCGCTTTATTTTCGCCCTTTCACACTTGCAAACACTTTTGACCCGTCTTAAATTCGCCCAATCACAGTTTTGTTTAAGAAAATATATAATATTCTTTAAATTCGCCCCGTTTTAAATTTGCCCAACCAAGACTAGGGCGAAAGGGGCGAAAATAAAACGGGTGCGAAAATTTCCCTGTATACAGTATATAATCTTAACTTTGAATTAATTTGTAAAAAATGTAATTTTTTGTCCTTGTTTAAAAATTTTCTGGGTGTTAAGACATTGTCTTTATTAGATATTTGCTGTGAGCGACAGAGGGAGTCAAAATGGTGTAGAATATCACTCACAAGTATTCAATACAAGGGAATGCCGTGAGTATTTCAAAATAAGGATGTAAAAGGTTCCTATAAATGTAACTATCGAAACTAAAAATGCCCTGCCTAAATGTTTGGATTAAACTTAGTATATAAATAATTGCTTTTCTTATACTCTACAGCATTTCGGTATGAATAATACTTGGGCTCTGTGCCCTTTGACCGTCAACAAAACAAGAAAAAGTTTTGTATAAAAAACACATAATTTATTGTATAAAAGTACATAAAACAAACGCAATGCTTGGAACTTCTTGGTGACGCAGGGAAGGTGTTAAAATACATGTAGAAGGTGCATCACTCTAGAAACAAAGACGCAAACCATATGGGAATAGAGGGGTAGTAGAAGATATTGTTGAGATAAACAAAACATCGTATGTTCGTTAACTGGTGACGGTGTATACTATAATTGTAACAATCCAATATTCACCTCTAATGTTGAGGGATTGATAAACAACACCTTCTGTGCCATTATCTTCGTTTTCTAATATTGTAAGTCTGGTAAATCAGTCAAATGACACCTTTGACGAGCCTATGTGTTTATATACACAAAGAACTAGGTAGCTATCTAATCAGCGAGGGGATCGCAAACGAAGTAGCGCGTTCGAAACTTCAAGCCAAAGTTATGAAACGTGGAGGGAAATCTAGGCACAATAGAGCTGAAAATATGGATTATGGATGACCAATTACTCATGTTCGATGGTAAGGCAACTTATAAACACAGGTAAAGGCATTATCCTATTATTTGCTCCACGGAGAGAATACTTGACATTGTTAACATTGTTTTTTGTCTTTGTAAATATGCTCTCAAACATATACATTCCAAGAAATTAGCCTTTATTCCGTCGTAATATTTTCATATATTCTTAAATTTGGACGTGACTTTTTTTTGTATTTTATACCTACATGTGTGATTGTCATAATGTATTCATTGTGTCTACTACATGAATAGATTTAGAGAAAATATACAGACATGATTTTAAACATTAAAAAAAATAAACCCTTGCCTTGCTGTCATGATATTTAAACATAAGAATATGGAAATAACGAACAGTATCCAATATCAAAGTCCATAAAACAATACAAAATAGGAGCAGAGGAAACACGGACATCTGAAACATCAGAAGTGGGATCAGATGCCATGGAGGAGACATCTGATAGAATCAGCCTACTTTTTTATCTCTGTTTATAAGATGCCCATGAGTATAGGTCTACCGTTGAAAAATTTCTTCCCTCCCCGATATGTTACATGTTCTATGGAAAAGGTACATGCTCTAAGAACCCGAGTCCTAACACCATAATCCCTGAATCTTAGGTCATGTATTTTCAAATTGACCGACGCCTCCGAGTCTTTATGTACCATAATCAGTTTGCCTACCAGAAGTATAGAAAGAGAACGTTTTGAAATCAGTTTTAATGCAAATTTTTCTGGTAAAATCTTCCCTTGTTTATCATAACATGAGTTTTGGAAAATGCGATTCTGATGAAAAAATACAAAAATTCTCTTTAAAAACTGATAAATGCCGCTGAGAGTGGTTCAAGGGTACATGTAGTACAATAAATGTGTAGGAAGACTGACTAACAGCGATTGCAAAATGGTTGCCAAACGCCATCTAAGTGTTTCGGATGGTTTTCGAAAAGTTAACTCTTTAAACTAGCATGATTGTTCAGAATATACTCACATGTTTATGATCTATAAAGTGTCATGGCTTAGATTCACATTTTGTTCAAAATACTTTTATACAATTTCCAATATACTGTATTTCCCAAGCAGAACTGTCAGTATATGTCGAGATATCCGAGATGTCGAGATATCAGAGTTGTGATACACATCTGAAATTTCATCATTTCGTAAAAATTTCAATATCACTAAGATTATTATATTTTGCTCATGATATCAATAGATAGTACTTCATTTTACCAAGTTTCTTTTTCTAACGGAATTTCAGAGTGCTACAGTGATGACATAAAAATTGTTTTTCTACGTATCTCTTAAAAGTCCTGTTTATATTATAATTTGGAATCTTAAATTGAGTGGAGACGAGAAAAAGTTCATGACGTCACAATCAGCATTTTGGAGTTCATATAAGAAAAATCGATTTGTAGATTTTAACTACACGGAATTTTAATAATTCAGAAAGGATTTTAAAATTCTAATTCCTTACATTAATTTCTTATTTTATATTAAAAAAATACAAAGCAAAATTTGTATTGAAACTATACCTTGTTCTTTATTGTATATCGTCCTTAAAATAAAGGGGCCAGAGGAGGATGGAAGTAGAAATTCTCGTTCTAAGTGATGATTGATGACAATTTCCCGAAATAGAGATTTAAATTAATTTTGCATTAAAAAAAAAAAACTATGAAATTTTGTAATGCATCAAGTCTTGGAAATCAATTTATCAAGTTATATTTGATCAAAATTTCTAATTTAATCCAATTGTGAACATATCAATTGTACAATATTTATTCATATTGTGGACGTAATTCAAAATGAAATGTAAGAAAGCATTTAAACTATATAACAATGGAAGACAGTGTATGCATAACAATACATAACAATAACAATCTTGAAAATATTGCTAAAAACAAGTCTGTATAAATAATCAAATGCGTCAAGCCTCCTGCTTTAAAGTATAATTTTCTCTTTACAGCTCTCACTTCTAAGGAGTGTTACTCTAAGCAAGGCAAAGCTAAAGGCTGTAAACACTGTGGTCTGAACTCCCTGCTGTAGTGGGACACCGCCATATTTCGTACAACGTTGTAGTACAGCTTTGCAAAGTACTTGCACAAACGTTTTCTCTTTGATACGTTACACTGACGTAGCATTTTCCGAAGAAAATTAACATCACATGTCTCTCTTGGTATTCCATAAGTGTAACCCTGTTTTAGAGAAAAAAAAATTGTGAAATTTGTGATAATGATTTTGAAAAATAAGTTTCTTGTAATAGGCGTGCATATATTTCAGATTTTATTCGTAGCAATTTCTATGTTTAATATATATTTTACTTCTATTTTTTGTCAGCTCGCTTGCATAACATCCCTTTCAAGATTTTGTTTTTCATACTTGGGACACCACCACTTGCTGCTAAAAGACTGCAAATTTGATCCTGTTCGAAAAAGCCATGAAGCAGTTAGGGATCGTTTTTATGCAAGGAACCTTATACATGTATAACATATTATACAGGACCAAGTTCTACGTCCCCAGCTCACCGCCATCACATTTTGATGCCAAAACCAGCGACGTAAAGACCAACTCCTTACTTTACTAATCTACAAGACACTGTAAGTATACTTGCTGTGGTATAACATTCACATAAAAAATTCACATGTTTGCAATTGCATCAAATAGATATTCAAAATATTAACAGTATACTAATAAACTAAAATGAACGAAAAATAATTATATAAATTAAATCTAATTTATAGTCGTGCAAAATCTCAGCGATTAAAGATACCTCTTTTATGGGTCTCGAGGTAGTGAAAATACACCTCCACCAAATACATTTAACAAGAGCATTGATGCAGGTATGTTGCACAAAATCTTATTACTTTCATGAAAAAATTCTATGAATAATTTTTGTTTTATATATACTTCCCAAAAATTATTCTACTTTGGAAGGGCAAATCAGTGTTTAAATCATGTAAATCAAAATAAATTTCTAAACTTGATCAAATGTAGACATGTCAAAATGTTTTCTTGATTAAGAAAATAGAATATGTTGTTATACTTTGAATATTAAAATATTCTACACAAGTCATAAAAACAGAAATATAATTGAAAAAAGCATACTGGGAAGTGATATAAGCAAATATTATAACATTTCACTGCAACACACAAGTACGTTTTTTCCAAAATCAATCATATCTCTCATTTCATGTAACAAATGTGAACAAAATATTTAGAGGCGTTGCTCTGTTATTAAATTTATATTGTTTTGCAATAGATTTTCTTTGATAAATTCGACTAAGCTTTCACGACGTCTATTCTTTTCAGGCGCGTAGCTGCCTATACGCAAGTACGCAAGTGCGTACACATCATTTCCCCCCCCCCCAAAAAAAGAGAGAAAGAGGGATAAAAGAAAAGAAGGAAAAAAAGAGAGAAATTTATTCGGGGAAAATGAGGCACTACCCGTGTTTCAAATTATTTTGCGTCTTATTGTTTCGATTCAAATTTTGTTCAGCATGTCTACACATTCAAATTTAGTCCTTTATAAAATCAATTCCAAAAACATCTTTCAACATTCTTGAGGAAAAAAATATTGTAGAGCCAAAATGCTCAACTGTTAATCCGCGTAATCCTGATTATCCGGACAAAAATTTGATGAAGGAAAGCGATCCAAGGGACTTTGATCGAAAGAAAAAGTTACAAAGGTCTTGGACGACTATACAAGATTTTCAATTTCCGTAGAGGTAATGAATAAATGTCGTTAAACAATTTAAATTATGGTGAACAAAATAAATAATAATATAGCTTCTTATACTGATGTTATCAATTTAAAAAATTATATTATAATTGAAGCATTCTCGAATCGTTTCAACTATCAAATATGAAGGTAATCAAAAGACAACAACACCCCCGTTTATATTTTGAAATATTTAAACTCCAATGATAACGATATTGAAATTGCTACTCTGTTTTATCTTGATACACTTGGGAACTTTCTTCCAATACCAATATATGCATAAATTAATTTGATAAATTATCGTTCTCTTCCCGAAGTATCAATGGAAGCAGTATAACTTAGCTAAGTGTTTGCTCGAGAAAAGTGATATTATCGTGATTTCTTTTGCGAGAAAATGACTGAAAATTTTCGTAAAATCCAGGAGCTTCGTTCTCTTCCCGAAGTATCAATGGAAGCAGTATAACTTAGCTAAGTGTTTGCTCGAGAAAAGTGATATTATCGTGATTTCTTTTGCGAGAAAATGACTGAAAATTTTCGTAAAATCCAGGAGCTTCCGGGGGCTTTGCCCCCTGGACCCCCAACAGGGCTTCGCCCTGGACCCACTGGGGGCCTCAGGGCGGCCCCCAGACCCCCGACCGTTTTCTGCGTACACTTAATTTCCATGCTGGCTACGCGCCTGCTTTTTATCTATTCGCAAGATTACTTTTTCAAAAATCTTATATTGCACTCTAGCTCAATGTCTCTCGATGATTACAGCTAATGGTGATTGTCTTAAGATCATGTTGATAGTGGATTTTAGTTAATGTTGTACGTACACAATGGTAGCACACATCGTGATGATTACAGGACGATGTAAATTTATCCTTATAGAAGAACGGCAGGTGAAGAGGAACACTACATCCGTTTGTCCACAAGGGTATCGCACAGGTCTGAGATAAACACACACTCACCACTGAGAGGAGGATTAGTATTATAAAGGTCAAATGGCTACCTGTCAAATAAACCAACATAAAAAAATAATGAGCCACATTTCATATTATCAATCATTTCAAATGATTGAGTGATTTATCTGCAATAAAGAGGAATTAGAACAATATATATATAAGATATATAAATATTCGCTTCTTGAAATCGAAGTACTAACAGGGAAAGTCTGCATCAAAGAGGAATTATATGTAGAAAAAGTGTAATAAGATATACATGCTAGTATCTGGAATTTGAAGTACTTACTGTTCATTTTTTTTTTCATTTAAAGTTCATTCACCTGATAAGTAGTGTTTACATTTTTGCCAGACTCGAAATGCACTGGCCAATACACGGGTTGACGGATTTATACAAGTGACCTTAGGAGCCGTGGTTATGAAAGGTGATGCATGTTTGTTATAGAATAGTACAAGATGTTTATATTGTGATATGTAATAATTCCCTCCAGCAATATTCTATAATTAATCAGTGATGATATCCAGACTAAATGGTACCCTACTTGCTTAAAATTGTATTAGAAAGATAATTTGTAATTACATTTTATAATGCGCATATTTATCCTTAATCCTTGAATATGTCATAATAATAAATTTAATTTTTATTATAATAAGTTTTAAACTATTTCATTCATGTAGCTAACAGCCTATTTCTAAATTTCATATGTTAGACAACGTAAATCTTTTTTTTTTCTGATCGAACTTTAATTACTTGTAGTCAATTTTTCTGTGTAACTGCAATCATTTATTAAATTACAATATTAAAATAAATATTTTCAATTGATGATTTTCAATTGTCGATATGGATAAAGTGTACGCACTTCCAGAAAATGCTACTGAATTGTAGATTTTTTTTTTACATCTAATTAAGAAAAATAAAATGTATTTCTAAATAATTATGTTAGTGTTGTATTATAGTTCTTCCATCACAAATATGAGCAACAGAAGTTTTTAAATGTTCTTTTTTTTCTTTCAGTGAAATACCGGTAATTAATCACAATTTTGCAACAAAAATTCCGACTTCAAATTTGCAGCTCATTTTGCTTAAATTCTACTTTTCGCAAACTTTATGGCAGAGCTGCCAACATTCTGAAATGACAAATAGTAAGGCGGGGTATAAGAGACCACCTAGGCCCCCTGTCGCTGAAGATGTTTTGTAAATGAACATGCACTCTGAGGCTTGTTTCCATTTTGTTTATTTAAAACATTGATATGAATGTGATCGGTCTTTAAAACCGAAACGAAGATACAAGCAAGCGTTGTAAGAATTATGAAGTTATTATAATATTAAAAACTATAGACTGTTGAGTTATGTCCAAGACACGATGTAGTTACGATATCGACACATTACTTTTTTCATAGTTTACTATAATAGTTCTATATTCTCATGTGTTTATTACAATACTTTTTGTTTTAAGACTATTTCCTTACTGTTAATATCCTCGATATCGTGCCGATATCGAATCATGGTTGCTCTAGGAATTGTGATTTCCATCCTTAATATGGTGTTTTTAACAACTGTTACTTAAAAATTTCTTAATAAATCTTTCCCTGGTGTGTCGATATCGTCGATATCGACGATATCGCTTCGATGTCGAATCATGTTTGCTCAGCTCTTGGTAAATACCTTCCCTGTTTCTTTGAATGTGTTTATGTATAAATATTTTTACGAAGATTTTACCTGCCATCGATATCGTCGATATCGACGATATCGTATCGATATCGAATCATGATTGTTAAGAGCACATTACTTTACCAATCTTCATCCTAAAACGAAAACTTTATTTTTACATCACTTCTGTGTTTAAAAAGTTTACCTAAATGTCGATATCGTCGATATCGACGATATCGTGTCGATATCGAATCATGATTGATAAAACATTTTTAAGAATTTTCATACTAGTCCAACATCTTTCTCTAAATCTAATCTAAACAATAACAGTCCTTAAATTTTCTTTATCATAATACTTTATTTTTATATTCAATAAGGAATCAATTTGGACTTCACTTGTGACTTTCTAAAATTATGTTATACCTCAATGTGAAAATAAATTGTGCAAATAGGATCGATATCGATACGATATCGTCATGATATTGTCGATATCGACGACATCGACATAATAAAGAGTCTCAAATACAGCGCCAGGTATTTCCAATTATTAGTGCTGATTACGATCGATATCGATACGATATCGACATAATATTGTCGATATCGTCGATATCGACAACGGATTTGTTCTTGGACATGTATGTTTTTTCATACATGTACAAGTAATTAGGCCATTGTCTTTAAATTAGAACTTCTACAGATTTTTTTTTCTTTACACATTAATGACAATGGACAAAAGGTGGATTTGACAGGTCGATGGGGGATGTTCACTTCTCCATGGCATCTGATCCCACCTGTTGTTAGAGAAACGTATTCACTCAGTTCACATTGTTTGGTTTGACTTTTGAGCATACTGTTCGTTATCGTCACAATTCAAGAAGCAATTAATAAATTTTAATTCATTAAACACCTGAATATGGTGTTTATTCGCTATATTTCGACACTTTGAAATATTTGGAGATAACTAACAGTACTCAAGTCAAAAATCCATTAAACAATACAAATTTTGGAGCAAAGAAAACACGGACCTCTAAAACATTTGAGGTTGGATCAGATACCATAGAGGAGTGAGCATCTACTGCCGACCATTCACACCCGCTGGTTCTCCTTGTCGTGATCGAAAAATGACGGGAAAATCCGTCGATAATTCAGTGTGTAAATAATCTCCCAACAAGAAGTATGAAAATCCTCAGTCAGTATTTGACGCACGAGGTATTTATAATTTTTATTTGCTGACAATGTCATTTAATCGACCGTACAACTTAATACGAAATAATGAATTTTAACGAAACTGCTGACATTCTTAAAAATTGGTTATCAACATGTTTGTCAATGAAATATTTATCTTGCTTTAAAATTGTTGTATTTAGAGCATGCTATTGCATATCAACTGCATGAGAGATACTTTATAACCCCACCCGCAGGTGATGAAAGTATGTTGCTACATAAGCAAGGAAAGTTTATGATTGCATGGAAAGTTAAAGTCATTACGTTTATCATAAAGCTTTGTTGATAGATTACTATTACCGTCTTTTTCTATTAAAAATATCCAAATTTGAAACAGATGTTTCAGACTCTCTGGTATCTTTTATTTTCAAGCTCAAATTAATGTATCGGGGTTTTTAACTATTTTTAAGTCAGCATTTTGCAACTTCTATTGTGGTTATAATGACTTTGTTTGATTCTGATATTGTTAGGCCCTAGATATATTAAAGACCTTGGCTGCAAATACAATTTATCTCTGAGTGAGTGGTATTTGTCTGAAGCATCTCACAACTTTAAGATCATTGTTTATATAACCATTTTGACTACAAAATACTTCGTTTAACTTATCTATGCAGAAAGCACAGTGGACTTGACAGGTTCACAGGGGATGCCTACCCTTCCTAGGCAATCTTCAAACCGCTGGTGCTTCTAATGCTTTGTTGTTTGCTCTTTTCATAATTCATACTCTTCACTCTTGTGATTAAGTACTGTATGTTCGTTAACTTCATTTTTTATATTACTTTACAATTTATTCCTTCGATTATCAAATAAATAAGGCTTTGATTGTAACATTTATTACTGAGGATTTTTTTTTAGATATAAACTATTGTGTTCAAGTTTTGACGTGTTTGTTTTATTAAAATATTGCATGTATCAGAGATCCACAACCAAGAATGAAACATATGAAATACCGAACAGTATCCAAGATCAAAATTCCATCAAACTATACAAAACAGGAGCAGTGCAAACATGGAACTCCAAAACATCGCAGATGGGATCAGGTGCCATGGAGAAGTGAACATCCCCTGCCTACCAGTCACACCAGCCGTGTGCTCCTTGTCATGATTGGGAAATAATTGAAAAATCCGTCGTCAATTCAGTGTATAAATAAACTAACAATTAGCATGAAAACGTCAGTCAGCATTTGACTCAACGATGAATTGTATTTGCTGACAAGGTCTTACGAAATGATGACTGCTTAAAATTTCTGTTTCATCAACTTATTTGTCAATAATTTATGTCGTTTAAGAAATTGTTTATACCTAGAGCATGCTCTAGCGTTAAAGTCATCACGTTTATCATAGAGCTTGGTTGTTATGAAAAATAATATATAGAATTTCAATTTTATGATGTACTTTTTCAGTACTTGTGTGACACATTAATCCTTTAAAAGTATTGAAGGGCATCATGCACATTTCAATTAGATTTTTTGTAATACATGTACAGAGAAGTAATTATGAACTATTGTGCAACCATTTTTGTGATTTATTTGCAAAATTTATTCACACTCTCTCTTTCTCTTTAAACATACAAAAATTTATGTAAACGTACTGTATATTGAGAAAAGAATATTTTAAAAAAAACACAAAATATATTTCAATATGCCGAAAAAAAATAATAATATATGCCCACAAAATACAAATACCTTTGTAAAAATTCAATGCATTTGACAAAGATTTCTTTAAGAAATCCGTCTGTTAAATTCCTGTCCTATGGAGAGAACGATCATGGGCATTGATTCCTGCTGTTAAATCCATTTCATTAATTTTAAAAAATATATTTTAAATCGCCAATTCCTGTCTCCGTTCTCCAAACAGTTTATTTAGCAAAATGCCAATTCGTAAGAGTCCTGGGTTCCTACTTTCATTTATCCAATTACATCTCTTTGTTGCCTTTACGCTCTCGCAAAACATCTCCATTGCCTCAGAGTAGTTCCCAGCTCTCTGTTGACAAATGCCTATGATATTGTATGTCAGAAAAGACCCGTTATTGTGTTCATCGTCGTAAACTATAGCAGAAAGATTTGTTAATGCCTCCATTTTCATTTCAATGCTATTTGACATCTCAAAACTTAAAAACCTTAAGAAATGTAGGTAGACCAAAGCTGGTACATTGATCAATCTCGTGTGCGGATCATGAATCTGCATCTCAAGCTCTATTGCCTTTGGCCACAGATATGAAGACCTTATAATTTCAATGTCAACTACACACCCTCTTTTCATTTTCAAAGACAGAGGAAGATCATCCGAAGAAATCACTTCTTGGTAAAGCTTTCGGCGGTCTTCATTGTTTGAAACGTATCGAAAATCCCGAAGGTACACGGTAAAAGGCAGTATGTTCTGCAGTGCTTGGTTGGTGACCATGATGCATCTTCTTATTTCGTCAGTACAGAAGTAGAAGGAAGCAAGACTCAACCTTCCGCTGGTCACATCACTGGCGCACCCTATCCTCAAATAGGCCTCTGATAAACAAAGCATCAGGTATTTCCTTCTGTTAGTGCTGGAATTCTGGACAACTCGATAAGCTATTTTCCCTGCTGCATTCACTAACCTATAATACATCTGTTTTAAAATATCTCGCTGAATATCATTAAGTGTATCCGAGTCCAGAGCTTTTTCAATATTTTTCATAAAATGATGTGTTCTAGACCAATTCATGTAACTGAAGTACCAATTACCTATCTTTTCAAAGAAGACGAAGTCGCATCTCGCCTTCAGATCATCAGGTGATAGATCTAGATCATCAATGGGTTTGGGGGGATCTGCACAGACATCGTTTTTCACTACTTCGAAAGACGGACAACTAAGTATTTCTGTCAAAATTTCGCTTCTGAGTGTTAATATGCGTTCAAGAATAATGGCCTTTTGAAGTGGTCTCATTTTCCGTTCGATGAGATTTCTTTCTGGGATGAAGTAATGGGGTACAAACTCTTTTCGAATCCATTCTTCTAGCTGTGACAGACATATTTGAATGCATTCTTTCAAATTCCCTCCGCTGACAAAATTCGGAAGCTTGTCCTCGCACACCCAAAACATCAGAGTTCGAATCACGTATGAGGATATAAAACCATCACAACCTTCAACATTGTTCAAACGTTCGTGAATAAGAATTCTGAAAATTTGGTAAAGTGTGAAAATTGCGTGGTCCATCGAATGGACCAGGGTGCATTCGGCAACTGAAAAACACAGTTGCCATTCGTGATTTTTTGTATCTGAGAACCGGGGACCAGTTGGTACACATTGACAGCCGTCCTGGATAACCTTTTCAATTGTTTCAGGGGTCGGCCAGTATCGACTTCGGACTCTAGTTTTCCATTCTCTGGCTCCAGGCGGCCAGCCGATGACCGGCAGTGCACACACAGTTCTCTGTTCTTCTGCCACGATGACTGGCCCCTCAGAGGACGAGCTTTTAGACGAAAGTTCCAGACATTTGGTAACAAATAGTGAGCTAGATAAATATACATAGCGTTCACTGTTCGCATAAAATAAATCTCCCGAAAAAACTGGACCAGATATGTACTTTAACATACAATATCCAAGTCTCGTGTATTCTGCAAGAAACACGGACTCTTTTTCAGTCGAAGGATTCCATTGATCATCTTCTGCCAAAACGATGGCGTTTCTAAATATCATGAAATCATCAATGTTATTTCTTTTGTATTCTATACCGTCCCCAAAACTTCCTATTGCCTTTCGTTCAAAAGTATAATCCCGATTTGTGACCTTAAGCCAAGTTTCTTCTACAATCCGTCGGATGTCTACACATTCTTTGAATCCCATAAGCCAGTCACATGCCTTCCAAAGATACGAGAACTGGTACCGACCATTTTTCTTAACCACTGTCATTGTGCATGTAGAGAAATTTTCAAACCGCTCCTAGGGATCCACCACTTTAAAAATATATATATACAATTACCACGACAATACTACAAACCATTTAATAGAACATAAACGTGAATGTGGACTAACTTGAATTGAACCTGAAATTTGAACAAAAACTTGTGAATTCTCACCTGTTAATGTGACAGCGAATTTATCATATATAGCAAACCGAAAGTAGGGCGGTAGGGAATCGGAAATTTTAGTGATCTTTTAATATATCTCTCTCTGGATAATAGACTATATTCACAAAGAAATTTTATTTTCAATGCCAAACGTTTGTTTAATATGAAATTTAAACCTGTTTTTAAACACATTTAATTTATTTCTCTGACATTTATAGTGAAAATCGGGTTATTTTCAGTTCATCTTAGAACAAGTTTTCGTTGACATAATTATGAATGAAAATTTACATTCATGAACCGGTGATTAAATGATTAGCGCGTCAAAAATAGTGCATTGTATGAAAAAATTCTTCCTCCAATATTTCCTTTTTAACAGCGATCCACTGATCCTTGGAACAGGTCCATATAATAACCGAGAAAATACTAGTAGTTTATTAGGTGAATGAAGTGGGAGTAATATTTATTTTTTTTTTCAACTTCCTATACTTCCTTTCATTTGCTTCCCTCTAAAACTAAAGTAAACGATTTAATTTTAAAAAATCACTGTGAAATTATTTTTTTTCTCTAAACTACTTATGAAACCGAAAATCAGAAGTTCAAATAAAAAGTGAAATTATTTTAAAAATCAAACGGACATGTTATTAATTAAAGAGACATTGCTTTACATCATCAAACATACCATTTTTTAATTCAAAGATAAAAACTTTTAAAAATAGCAATTTTGTCACTTTGATGAAAAACTTCCCAATAACAAGTACACGTAAATTGATTCCTAATGATCTCAAATAATATAAAAATTTTCATTATTAAGTTATCAAAACCACCATCTCCACATAAACATAAATTAATTATATTTAACCATCTTTCAAATTTTTTTTTTACAGATGATTAATGACATTCCCAATTTTTAAGTCATTAGTTTCCTTGTAGCAGCTTATATCTCTTGGATATAGTCATCAGAACCTGTGAAGGAAATTAAAAAAAAAATATTTCTCTCCAAGTCAATCATTTAAAAAAAAACATTATTGAAACAAATATTGTAGTAAAAATTTTTTATTCACAATAAGAATAAAAAAAATTTGTTTCTGAAAATAAATTCAAGGAATTAAAAATATATGTCTATAAATAATCCCCAATTATATCAGAGCAACATTAACTTGTGAATGCTGCCGTCACAAACACTTCTGTAGATGTAGAACTATTTCCTCAGAGACATAAAAAATTGGTGTGTTACTGAACTTTACCTTTACAACCCACCCCCCTAAAAAAACAACAAAATATATGAAATGCATCTGCTATCATATCTTCTGGTTCATGCTAAACACTAAATTATTTGTGGGTGATAGAGTAGGAAGTTTAAAAAGATGTGAAAATTTAAGGTGAATGGGATGTCCAGGCATTTATGTAAACAGTAAATAATATACATTGTCAGATGCTTTTCTCCTCTATCTGCATCTGAACTTGGAAGTGCTTCAAATGTAATCAGTAATTTTAGCACACTCGTATTTTGCCACATATTTTTGGTTATAAAATAAAAAAGGTGGCTATCACTTTCTCGGCATAAATTTCTGTCATAACACAATGATCTTATTTTAAAAAAATATGTAAATCATTAATATTTAGGTAACTTTCAAAACAAATGCACATTAAACATGGACATTTTTTCATGTGGAAATTTTCTTCACAAATACCATTTAAATATTCCTGGTGTGTCATGAGACAATGAGTTCATTATTCAGCTAGTAAGCTGTCAATACATACATGTCAATGATTTGCATGTAACTAAAAATATAGCTAAAAATTGTTAATTACAGGACAATCACACTAACACAGCTTTGATGGGTGAAATCGTCCCTCAGATTTGTTCTGGGTAGTTATTTCCTTAGTGTCAGATCTATATTTTGTGTCAGACTGTTCCCTCCGGGCTGAGGAAGATCACTTAGTAATACTGGCCCCTGACTCGGACTTTCCACTACTGAGACTGTGAATAAGAGCTGCTATCTGAGTGTGTTTCTCTAGATTAGTCCGTAGTTCCTTGATCTGTTCGTCTTTAGATAGAAGATCAGCCTCGTGCTGTTTACATACAAGCTCCAAGGATGACACCTGTTAATAAAAGTATTGTAATGTAGTTCCTCATTCAATAACCACTACATTTATAATACATCACAAAATAAAGATATTTAGCTTTTCTGTGATGTTCTAATTTTATATGGATCAAAAAACATAATAGCATAATTTTTTCACTATGTACATGACAATTGTATTAAATATTACAAAAATGATCTGGTACTCAATGTCTTTCAGTTGACAAGGTTGCCATTTGAGAAAAACTGCCTAGTGCTGACTATGTTCTTATACCTGAGCCTGTTTTTTATATATATATAATACTATACCTGTTGTTGAAGCTGTTTCTTTGTCTGCTCTGTATTGTTGACCTTGTCTCGTAATTTATCTAACCCCACCTCCAGTTCTGTCCTTTCCTTTTCGGTCTTCTCAAATTCAGATTCTAACTTGGTGTACTTTTTTGTTATTTCTATTGTAAAAAAGAAAATAAAAGTGTTGAAGGCAAATTTCAACTAAGGGAGAAAAACACAGATTCCTTGAAAGTTACAACACATTTTTACCAAATTTATAAGCCACTGCATTGTTGAAATTAATACATTTACATTTCTATTTGTTTTCTCAATTATAACTCTTTGAAACTAGGTAAATAGATCAGTTGATCATAAAACCTGAATGTAAATTTCGTTGAGTGAAAGGTCAAGTGCCTTATTTGCATGTCAATCTCATGCGGCTGTCTTAGTGTCTCACGTCAGTGGGCAGGGACTATTGAAATTGTCAAGGAAGGCCTTGTGTATTTTAAATTTAAGCAGCAATTTTTTTTTATTTATATTTACAATTTTATTTCACATATAAATGTAAATATGAGGGTTTCATTTGTTATGCAAATTATTCCACATTTCCAACTATCGTTGATACGATAGTTGATACCCTGGCATACTCAACAAATTAGACTGTGATTTCTTGAATATCACATTTAAATCCCATAATTTAATTTCATTTTTCCAAAACTGATATAAAGTTATGCCTGAATTTTTATTTTTGTATCATCTTATTCCTGGATTTCTTTATTTCCTGTATAATAGTTATAAATATAAATAATCAATGAAGCAAGAGTAAATACCTTGTAGCTTTCCTTCTTTCTCTTTCAGCTGCTTTGATAAAATTTTTCTCTCCTCCTGAAGTTTTGACAATTGTTCAGACGCCCTTTAAATATGAAAATAAAATGTCTACAAAACTAAGCACATCAGACCAAGTGGAATAATTCCAATATTAGTCATGTTAAGGCTCAATAAATTTGTCTATTTTAATTTTTAACCCTTAAATCTACACAATAAAGTAGAATTTTTACACAGACTGAATCTAAATAAATCTTTACTTACAAATCATGCTGCTGCTTCAGTGACTCATTGTGTTTCTGTAGAATCTCATGCATTTCTGTCAGAGTTTTTAGCTCTTGTTTGAGGGATAACAAGGTTTTCTGAGAAGATTCATACCTTAAAAAAAGTTTGGGTTTTTTTATAGTTAGAAGGCAATTACTTCTCGATATGATACTAAGATGAGCTAGCTGCAGATCTGTAGCTCTTTGGTCTGAAAACTTGGGATAGCAGAACAGAGAGCTACAGTGCCACCTAATGAAATACATAGGTAATCAAAGATTAGGAAGCTCACCTTGACAAATGTGATCAGTCTAAGTAATGCAAATCTCAAATCAAATTTTCTTAACAGTTAGTATTTTTTCTGACAACAATATTCAAGCAAGTTCTGTTTAAATAGGTCTTGAAGTTCATTGGGATTGATTTGTTCCAAAAACTTTAACCTGGTCACTCGTTTGGAAAATGTAGGTCAGATCCAGCATCCAAAGCAAGTTTTGATTGTTCATCCTTAGAAGCATCATCCATGCAAGTTTGGTCTAGGTAGGACTTATAGTTACTTGGGAATAACCAAGTCACTAATCTGGAAAATGTAGGTCAGATCCAGTATCCAAAGCAAGTCTGGTAGTATCCATCCCTAGATGCATCATTCATGCAGGTTTAGTCGAGGTAGGGCTAATAGTTACTTAGGAATGGACCTGCTCCAAAAACTTTAACCTGGTCAGTTATCTGGAAAATGTAGGTCAGATCCCGTATCCAAAGCAAGTCTGGTAGTGTCCATCCCTAGATGCATCATCCAAGCAAGTTTGGTCCGAGTAGGGCTTACAGTTACTTGGGAATGGACCTGCTCCTAAAACTTTAACCAAGACGCTGACGCCGACACCGGGGGTATAGCATAAGTTCATCTCGACTTCATCGAGGTGAGCTAAAAACTGTACATTTATTGTGTACAAAAAGTTAAGCTTGGTTCTGGATTAATTTTTCTAAATTTTCCCCTCAAAAAGCTAGATTTCAAAAAATCCCATAAACCTCTATCAAGTTATTTTGCAGATGACTTTTGCACACAGGACATTGGACCAAATTATTTAGCCACTAATAATAGCAGTATAAAAGGTGACAAGAAACAACACACTTTTTTGTGGGCAATAAATATACAGATTTTTCAAAGGGTGGCTCTGTAGCTCTTCGGTCTGTCAATTTACTTTTCTTTTTGGAGAGCTAAAAACCTGTGCAGCTAAAAAAGAGCTTACTTTACAGTGAAAGCTTTATTTCACCCTAAAAACCTCAAAAGGGAAAGTATTAACAAGTATTTCTTTATACCCCCTCCCCCCCCCCCCCCCCAAGAGATTCAGTAACCTGTTTAAATCCCTGCTTACCTCTGTGTTATGTCGGAGTATGCTGTTGTCAGTTGTTGGTGCTCCTCTGCTACGTGCTCTAATCTACAGAATAAAAATACAAACTTACAAGAGGTTCACCCTGGTCATCCTTTTCTGACAATCATAAACAAGAGGCCCAGGGGCCACATCACTCACCTGAGCACTGTGGCTAGGAAAAGGCAGAATTGGTTTATACTTGAAAAGCTTAAATCCAAAAATAGTCCCAAGACCAATCATGGCTTTGCTATTCTTGAGAAGAAGATTTTTAAAGAATTTTCCTATACATTTCTATGTGAAAATTTGGGGCCATTTTGGCCCCGCCCTACCCCTGGGGGTCATGATTTGAACAAACTTGAATCTACACTACCTGAGGATGCTTCCATATAAATATGATCAATTATGGCTTTGCTATTCTTGAGAAGAAGATTTTTAAAGAATTTTCCTATACATTTCTATGTAAAACTTTGGTCGGCCATTTTGGCCCCGCCCTACCCCCGGGGGTCATGAATGAACAAACTTGAATCTACACTACCTGAGGATGCTTCCATATAAATATGATCAATTATGGCTTTGCTATTCTTGAGAAGAAGATTTTTTAAGAATGTTCCTATACATTTCTATGTAAAACTTTGGTCGGCCATTTTGGCCCCACCCTACCCCTGGGGGTCATGATTTGAACAAACTTGAATCTGCACTACCTGAGGATGCTTCCATATAAATATGATCAATTGTGGCTTTGCTATTCTTGAGAAGAAGATTTTTAAAGAATGTTCCTGTACATTTCTATGTAAAACTTTGGTCGGCCATTTTGGCCCCGCATTACCTCTGGGGGTCATGATTTGAACAAAATAGAATCTACACTACCTGAGGATGCTTCCATATAAATATGATCAATTATGGCTTTGCTATTCTTGAGAAGAAGATTTTTAAAGAATTTTCCTGTACATTTCTATGTAAAACTTTGGTCGGCCATTTTGGCCCCGCCCTACCCCTGGGGGTCATGATTTGAACAAACTTGAATCTACACTACCTGAGGATGCTTCCATATAAATATGATCAATTATGGCTTTGCTATTCTTGAGAGGAAGATTTTTAAAGAATTTTCCTATATATTTCTTAAATGTAAAACTTTGGTCGGCCATTTTGGCCCCACCCTACCCCTGGGGGTCATGATTTGAACAAATTTGAATCTACGCTTCCTGAGGATGCTTCCATATAAATATGATCAATTATGGCTTTGCTGTTCTTGAGAAGAAGATTTTTAAAGAATTTTCCTATATTTCTATGTAAAACTTTGGTCGGCCATTTTGGCCCCGCCCTACCCCTGGGGGTCATGTTTTGAACAAACTTGAATCTACACTACCTGAGGATGCTTCCATATAAATATGATCAATTATGGCTTTGCTATTCTTGAGAAGAAGATTTTTAAAGAATTTTCCTATACATTTCTATGTAAACTTTGGTCGGCCATTTTGGCCCCGCCCTACCCCCGGGGGTCATGAATTGAACAAACTTGAATCTACACTACCTGAGGATGCCTTCCATATAAATATGATCAATTATGGCTTTGCTATTCTTGAGAAGAAGATTTTTAAAGAATTTTCCTATACATTTCTATGTAAAACTTTGGTCGGCCAGTTTGGCCCCGCCCTACCCCCGGGGGTCATGATTTGAACAAACTTGAATCTGCACTACCTGAGGATGCTTCCATATAAATATGATCAATTGTGGCTTTGCTATTCTTGAGAAGAAGATTTTTAAAGAATGTTCCTATACATTTCTATGTAAAACTTTGGTCGGCCATTTTGGCCCCGCATTACCTCTGGGGGTCATGATTTGAACAAAATTGAATCTACACTACCTGAGGATGCTTCCATATAAATATGATCAATTCGGGCTTTGCTATTCTTGAGAAGAAGATTTTTAAAGAATTTTCCTGTACATTTCTATGTAAAACTTTGGTCGGCCATTTTGGCCCCGCCCTACCCCTGGGGGTCATGATTTGAACAAACTTGAATCTACACTACCTGAGGATGCTTCCATATAAATATGATCAATTATGGCTTTGCTATTCTTGAGAGGAAGATTTTTAAAGAATTTTCCTATATATTTCTTAAATATAAAACTTTGGTCGGCCATTTTGGCCCCACCCTACCCCTGGGGGTCATGATTTGAACAAATTTGAATCTACACTACCTGAGGATGCTTCCATATAAATATGATCAATTATGGCTTTGCTGTTCTTGAGAAGAAGATTTTTAAAGAATTTTCCTATATATTTCTATGTAAAACTTTGGTCGGCCATTTTGGCCCCGCCCTACCCCTGGGGGTCATGATTTGAACAAACTTGAATCTAAACTACTTGATGATGCTTCCATATAAATATGATCAATTATGGCTTTGTTGTTCTTGAGGAGAAAATTTTTAAAGAAATTTCCTATATATTTCTATGTAAAACTTTGGTCGGCCATTTTGGCCCCGCCCAACCCCCGGGGGTCATGATTTGAACAAACTTGAATCTACACTACCTGAGGATGTTTCCCCATAAGTTTCATTTTTCCTGGCACAGTGGTTCTTGAGAAGAAGATTATTAAAACATGCCACCAAATTTTCATTAATTCCCAATTATCTCCCCTTGAATGATGGTGTGGCCCTTCATTTGAACAAACTTGAATCCCCTTTACCCAAGGATACTTTGTGGCAAGTTTGGTTGAAATTGGCCCAGCGGTTCTTGAGAAGAAGTCGAAAATGTGAAAAGTTTACGGACAGACAGACAGACAGACGGACGCCTGACAAAATGTGATCAGAAAAGCTCACTTGAGCCTTCGGCTCAGGTGAGCTAAAAATTTGGTACACTAAAGTGTTGACCCCTTATTCTAAAATAAACTGAGCACATGGTCTTTATAAACACAGGACCTTTTTCAGCACAGGGCTTCTTGTGCACAGGGCCACATTACATGTATCAATTGATCTGAATTTTACTTTATGATCTTGTTATAACTTTGGTTGAATCTTGTTCTAGAGATCAAAGGTTAAAAGAAGAAAAAATGTTCAATTTACTTGAGCAACATATATATTTTTTTCTATTGGAGTGTTATGTCATATTGTGGGTAGTTGATATTCTCTGAATTACTATCAAGTAATTACTATCCAGTACCTACTTTTGGTATTCCTGTTTTTCTTTCTGAATGTGTTTTGTGGGTATTTGATATTCTCTGAATTACTATCCAGTACTTTTGGTATTCCTTTTTCCCTTTTTGAGTATGTTTTGTGGGTATTTGATAGTCTCTGAATTACTATCCAGGAATTACTATCCAGTACTTACTTTTTGGTATTCCTGATTCTCTTTCCGAGTATGTTATGCGGGTATTTGATAGTCTCTGTATTACTATCCAGTACTTACTTTTGGTATTTCTCTTTCTCTTTCTGAGTGTGTTTTGTGGGTATTTGATATTCTCTGAATTACTATCAAGTACTTACTTTTGGTATTCCTGTTTCTCTTTCTGAGTGTGTTATGTGGGTATTTGATAGTCTCTGAATTACTATCCAGTACTTACTTTCAGTATTCCTCTTTCTCTTTCTGACTATGATATGTAGTAATTGAAATTCTCTGAATTACTATCCAATTTTTACCTTTGGTATTCCTGTTTCTCTTTCCAAGTGTGTTATGTGGGTATTTGATATTCTCTGAATGACTATCCAGTGCTTACTTTTGGTATTTGATATTCTCTAATTACTATCCAGTACATACTTTTGGTATTTGATATTCTCTGAATTACTATCCAGTACTTACTTTTGGTATTCCTGAGATAGCTGCTCTAGCTCTACACTGAGTTTTTCTTTCTGTAACATGATCTCATTCAGTCGCTCTCTGTGTTCCTCCGACTCTAACTCAGACTCTTTCAATAACTTCCGCATTTTGTGAGCCTAAATGATAAAAAGATACCATTTTCTAAAACAATGTTTCATGATGAATTTTTGATAACCTTTGATATTTCTATAATGTATTGAGTATAACAATTCTTATTTATAAAATGGTGATATAAAGACACCAAACATATTCATCATGAGACAAGCATTTTCATATTTAACAACTGTGGTATTTAACTTTGCATAACACTTTACAAATTCTGGTTTTAACAGTTTTATAGCAAACTTTTTAAAGGGTTTCAAAAATCTTATCCTTTATCAAATGCATTATCTGAACACTACACATAAATAGAGATAACTTTTGTACAGATTTGTCTGACCTCTGCCTCGTACTGAGCGCGCCGGGACCTGTACTGCGCGATCAGTCTGTCTGCCTGTGACAGGGCCAGGGTCTTAGCGTCCAGCAGGTCCTGGAGGTGGTTCTCCTTTGTCTTTATTAAAAATAGAACAAATCCGGATTACCCTGCTACATACATCCAAATGAACGTTTTATACATAGTTGTTAAAGTATCAAATATAAAAACAAAATGAATCTAAAATTAACATCCTTAATTTACTCTGTTACACATACTGTTTTAATCAGTAATTAGTAATGCTTTTGATTATTCCTGATGAAATACATGTATAGGCATTTTTATGAGGATTATACGTTGTGTTTGTATATCTCATGGATTGAAGTATGACACACCAGTATATATAAAGTACATCCGATTCTTCTATTTGTACATTTCATTACTCGATTTAACAACCTGTAAGCTCCATGTTAACAAAAACTGTTAAGAAGAGTAGAAGACTACAAAAAGTAAATACAATATGTGAACAGGCTCACCTGATAGCCCTGAATTTTATGTTCGTAGATGTCTATGATTTCAGATCTGTTGATATCCTTCACCTTCAATTAGATATAGAATACATGTATTAATACTGAATTATGCTAAATAAAATAGTAAAGTGATCTTTGAAAAATCACATCATTCTGGCATTGCTTCGGGCGAAAAAATTGGATACCTTCTAAAAAAAAGGGAAAGAATCTAAATGAAAATTAAACTTCAAATACAGTGTAATTATAAACAAGAATAAAAGATAATTGTTGTAGTATAATTGGAATGAATAAATGCAAGAAACTGGTTGTAAATATTACTGGCTACATGTCTGAGAACAACAGAATTTTAGTAAACGCACCTATATACTGTCCTTAATATAAAAGAATTAAATGAAATGCACAGCAAAGGGCAATGAAAATGAATGATACGTATCCAATATGTTCATATACAATTGATATTGTAGTTATTATGTCACAAATATCCAGCAGCACAGATTTATTCCAAGCACATGCAATTACAACATCATGCAGTTTACTATACTGACTTAAACAACCCAAGTACCCAGTACATTAAATGATTACAATATTCCAAGTATATGTATGAGTTATCTATAAATATAATATATATGTAAGACAAAGTATCATATTAGGGAATGCTCAATAATTTATGCCAGCAGCACCATAACTGTCCTAAACTAGAAAACTGACCAGTCAGCAAGGGCCCCGCCATGGGGTAGAATTATAAGGATGCAGCTTATGGAATGATAAAAAAATATATATACATGAAGAAATAAGCAACAGCAACTGTATTCTTAAAATTTTCAACATAATTCCTGAATATCCAAAAACCTGTAAATAATATCCTTATGTATTTACATTAGGCAAGTAAAGAGCAACCTAACACTGAATGTATATATAAACAATTATGAAGTTTGTGTTAGTGTTATATAAAATGCCAGTCTTCAATGAATGCAAATACATGTATCATGAAGGCTTGACCTTAACTTCAGAACAAACAGCAGTTGCAGACAAAGGTTTTCATTAATCTTAAAATGACAGATAAAGATAGGCCTACTAAATTTTCTTCAGCAGGCTAAATAATTAATCCCAAGAGATTAATTGTACCTCATTCATCATTTTCTTCTAAAGTTACAATAAGAACTTTTTCAGTATTAATATTAGAATGGGGTTTTTTATCCAAATACCCTAAAAATTAATATTATACTTGAATTTATATACAGGAAAAAAAAATAAAAATAAAAAATATGTTTTCTTTAATCATGTTAATCTATTTCTTGTTTTTAGAATTCAATGAAATCATAATTCATTGTGTAGGGTATTTTAACAAAAATAAAGTATAAACATTTATATCTAAATCCATATTTCAGTTCATAGCATTCCAAATTGAGTGAACTTCAAAACAAACTTCATTTGCAGACAGGGGTGGTAATTAATCTCTATGTGACAGATAAAGATAATGCTTTGGATTTTCTTAATAGGAAAGCTAATTAATCCCAAGGGACTCATAGCAGCAAGTTTACAATGGAAACATCTTCAGCAGTTATCTCTCTTTGCCAAAGCATTCTTATATAAGTCAAGGAACACCCCACCACCCCAATCCAAACCAGGGGACATAGAGAAACAAACTTAGCATCAAAATTTGTCTTTCTGCCTACCGAACTATCATACCAAATTTGAACTTAATTGGGCAACCATAAAAAAAGTTATTGGGAAAAAACAGAAAATTTGTAATATAATGTAACGGACAGACAGAGTGACCCCAGGGCCACCCTCAAATTTTGCCAGCAGCACCCTAAATAAACTTCCAGAAAAGCAAGTTCAGACTGCTGTAATGTTGTGCATCCTTAGATTCATCGATTTCACACACGATTGTTCTGAGTAAGACTTTTCAGATACATGCCACCCAAAGGAGAAAAATTTAGTACCGTAATCTCTTCCTCCTCTCAGATTTTATACAAATTCCAAGAAGAGATAAGAGATATTTGGTATTTGGTAGAGAGTCTTATAAAAAAAAAACTTCAGTTTCATCACTGTCGATGGATAATATGCTGCTCCAACCCCCAGTAAATTTAAAGTGGGTACTGATGCCAACACCAAGGATTTAGCATTATAATTTTATTGTGGTGAGCTTAAGGTTTTCCCACCCTCACAATTTGAATGGTTCATTATTCATTAATGCATTAATTTTCATTTGATATAATTTAAACTTACCAATTATCATGATTATTGCAAAAAATGTAAAGGCTGCCATATGATTTAAGATGGGAGACATAAATGAACAGAAGAATATGATTCTAATGCTGAAAGTTCCAAAACACTCGCTTCTTAGCAAAAACTTTTGAATTGTGAATATCTGGGAAACTATTTTACGTTGGAAGTTCAATACAGGAAATGACAGAATGAAAGTTCCTGAGGAGTTATTGCCCTTGTCAACATTTTGTAAAGATTGAAAAATTGATTGAATAAAGAAAATATACAACTTTCAAATTCTTTTACTATTTATCATTACACCTATTGAAAAGCATTCTTCCAAAAGATATTGCTGTATTGAGTATGAATTTAAAATAATAGTGTTTTAAATTTGCAAAAAAACCTATGACAAAGGAGGATGGAAATACCTTAAAATGAAATTTTGGAAATTCATAACTATTTTTGTATCAGTATTTATTAATGAGTAGAGATATCTTAAATGAAAATAATGGAAATAATATAAACATGTAAAATATATCTATTAACATGATTAATGTAATAAATCAAATACTTAAGTGAAATTTACAAGTATTCCATTATTGAAACTCATCAAAAGTTTCAAAAGCTATAATCTTTATTTGTACCATAAATTAACATGCAAACACATGCAACTATTTGAGAATGACCACCATAGGACATTGAAAAACAACTTTTGGACAATGTAAAATTTGAACATCACTATTTGATTTACCACTAGAAGTAAATTTATAAAAGCAGAATGTATAATAAAGAATAAAATGCAAAATTTCAACCGTTCTACAAAGAAAAACTTTTGAACATGTTAAAATTGAAAGTACTGATGAATGTTTTGTAGAAGTAAATTTAAATAAGAGAGTTATACATGTAACATGAACCTATAAATGTATCATTATAAATACTAAATGTAATGTACCTTACCTATCTTAAACCAGAAGTCTCTGTTGAGACTGTAGCTCTACTGGTTTGTGCTTATAAATGAGAAAAGAAGCCATTGCTTTAGAACAATTACTGTAGAAGGAGTAGCATTTTAAAGGAATTTCACACATTTCTATTTTTTAGTAACAATGGCAACACTTTCATCAAAATCAAAAACCGATCTACTATATATCAACTTGTGTGAATTATTATTGACCAAAATGAGGAGTAGCGTTTTAAAGGAATTTGAAAAGTATAACCATGGCAACACAGTATCATTGATGAATGTTAATAGTTGACTACTTGTGTGCCAAGTTATACTGAAATCAGATCAAAATTATAGAGTATGTTTTAGAAATTTCACAGAAAATTCTATTTTTATTAACCATGACAACACCATTCAATATAGATGTTAGTTATATGAAATCATTTATCAAAACATAGCATTTTAAAGGAATTTCACAGAAAATATTTTTGTAACCATCATTATAAATAAAAACTAAATGTATTTTATGTATCTTTGTTAGTCTACTTGTGTGCCAAGTTATATTAAAATCAGACCAAAACTGTAGGAGGAGTAGCATTTTGAAAAATTGGGGGACAGACAGACAGACAGACAGAAATCATTTAGTCTCTAGTAGAGCTAAAAAGGGGGGGGAGGGGTCACGAAAATTTGGTAATCTATAGAGAATAATTGACCATTTTTAGCTTGTCACTATTCTAGTAATTTAAATGCAAATAAAACTTGATGAATTACCTCCAACCCTGTCTGCATCTTGTCTATAATGGCTTGTACGGACGCCTCCTGGTCACCGTTGGAAAATCGTGAGAAGTCGGCTGTACTGTTATAGGAGTTGGAGGGGGTCCGCATACTCTTCATCAGCAGCCCCGGGGTCACAGCTGTAGTGTTTATATTCTCTACTGCTTCCTTCTTCCTGGCATTACAACTGGCCATAGAGTCTCCAATTCTATCAAATAACAAATAAGTGATCAATCAACAATGAAAAAAAAAAACAACTTTCACTTAAATATTACAAAATAAATTTGAAGTACCTCATATTTTTTTCCCATGTTCAAATTATCCCAAACAATTAGCACCAAAACACTTACATTTATAACTCAACTTCCCAAGTCAAAGGTTTCTGATCCGCTCCACATAAACCCTTGAACTAACAGACTAAGTTTGACAGGGTTTACTATCATGCCGTCTAGTGAGATTAAACATTTTGAACTCTAATGACCTCTGTTATAGGCCAATCAGAGTATTAAACAAATTCTCTGTTGAATTTGAGATGATATTGGAAGTCGGTATTTCTAACCCCATCAAACTTAGACTATTTGGTCAAGGGTTTGTGTGGAGCGGAGCAGATCAGAAACCCTTGACTTGGGAAGATGCTTTTCACTATGATCATCAAAATGTAATATTTCCAAAAAAAAAAAAAAAGATTAAAATGTGTTGAAAATACTCTGTTGAATACAGAATAGATTAGGGATATCCAATAAATAATGTACACTGTAAAACAAGCCACATGTTCCTACAGTATGCATTTCTATTTAGCCTTTTTCCAGTATTGTTAAATGCTCTTATATCATGTGACTGTTCCTTCTTAAGATTATTTTGTTTTAAATTAATGTTATAACTTCTAAAACGTACATGTGTGTGCATCTCATTCCTATTATAACCCAAGATTTTACGAAATCCTTACAAAACAGTGGGGAACGCCTCCAGTGTGGTGCCAATGGTGAAGAGCTGTAAGGCTGTCTGTAGCACGGTACGATCCTGACTGGTCAGTCCCGCAGACAGGAAGGGAACCAGCTTACTGTCCTACAGAATCAAATCTTATAATCAATATCTAATGGTGCATTTATTGTATTTTTTTTTAATCTGATTAAAAATCCATAGATATTCAAAAAATCTTCAGGCCCCAAACCTCTGATATTTATTTACATGTAGTTTTCCTTAAATTCAAATCCGTACCATGAATATACAGATAAGATATAGGGGATTTATTTGATGGAAAGAAAAAAACATTTTTATTTTAAACTCAAATTTATGGCATTTTTTTCTGGGCAGTCAAGTCTTTCTATTCTTTGACTTCAAAGCAATAGATCACTACCTGTAATAAGGAACAGAACAAGCCATCCAAATTTGGCATGTACTTTCGCAATTTGGACATCAGCTCAAGGCAAAATATCACAATATGTACCCCATCTTCACTGAAAAAAGGGAAAATAGGAAAAAAGTTAACATACAAAATGAAATGAAAAACTTTGATTAGCACATCTGTTTTTAAAAATATAAATAATAAATACATGTAAATATAGTTGTAAAATGCTGATTTTTGTATCAATGAATTCAGTATGTACAAAACACAGAATAAAAGTGGGCCATGCACTTTCATAAACAAAGTGTTTTATTTCTGAAAGGACTGAGTTCTGGCACTGTTATTAGACCTTCTTTAATTTTCTTTAACTAAAAAATCATTTATGACACACTGTTAACACACACACACACTGCTTTAAAAGAAAAACAAGAGATGTTTGTAAAACACTTAATCAGACTTATGCCCCCTCCCCAAAATGATTGGATTTTTTTCTAAGTGAAAGGGGCAAAACTCTGTCCTAAATGGATCCATCACACCCAAAACAGACCTAGATATTCTTATGATCAATCTTTGTACTAAATTTCATTTAAATACAGTGTATGTGCAACCTCTGCGAAGAAAATGAATGGAAACTGATGGTGGACCAACCGACAAACAATAGCAATACTGTAAACCAACTTTAATTCACTTTCTAGAAATTTTTGTAAATTTCATGCAAGTCTAGTAATTGCGAATATTTCTCGCCACAAACCGGTTTTTTAAGTCTATTATTATTACCAAGAGAACCTAAATAGGCTTGATTGCGAAAATCAATTGTCGCAAACTAGTTTACCCCTGGTAAATCGCGAAATAAAGTCGTCACAAATAAAGGTTGGTTTACAGAAGCCCTTCCTTCAAAGAAGGGAGGCATAAAAATATAGAGTTTCTGAGGTTGTTTCTACACTGACCTCCAGTCTTCAGCCCCCACTGACACGTTACTGACGTGAAGCGTGACCCGGTTATTGGTCAGCTGGAAGTCCAGTAACTCTGTGTAGACAGAGGGACTAAATAAAGCTACCATCTTCTTCCTTATGTCATCCTCTCCAGATAACACTGAAACAGAGGAGATTTCTGTTTATTTACCTGTACATATCGGTACAAGAACAGTACAAATATAATATAACTTATACTATACATTTACCTTCTGAAAATAAACACAAATGCTTTCATGGACATACAGTAAAATGTGGATTTTATTGAATATCAGACAAAAACTGTAAGATTAATGTAATGCATAATAACAGCTCTTTGAAATGCAAAATATTTCTACTGCAAAATGTCTGCTTAAGGTCCTCCATTATCACCGTTTGGCTGGAGTTCCTCTTAAGTCGAATAAGACCTCTGGGGACACTGATATCATGAGGATGTCATGACAAACAATATGTTTTTTAAAGGAAGTCCTAAAAATCATGTCAAAATTTGTTTTACATGTACTATCTCTGGTACCTTATTGAAGCTGTAGTGAAAAACTAACAGTATATTTTCTAATTTCTGTTTTTCTAATTTAATTTCTATAACTACAGTACATATGCTATTATACCAGATAAGAGCTGTAGTGACTTGACTTTCTTCTGGCACTGTTTTTTTGGCATACACATTTCACTGTCTATGTCAACTTCTGAATTCAGTGAGGATAATAAAACAGGTAAAATAAGGTCCGCATGAACAGAGTATTTCAGTCTAGTGTTGGAATAAATCAACTCCTACAATAAGTACAAATCAAATCACAAAAAAAATCTCACGTATCTTGTTTTACAAAACTGCAAAGTAACATAAATATAACAAAACAGGGCTTTGAAATTGCCTGCATCAGCAAGTGTGAAAGGGTCAGGAATAACATTTTTGTCGGAGAAATACTGCAAGTCTAAAATATTTACTCAAAAGCTTTGAAGATATGCATTCAACTTTTTCATTTAAAAAAAAAATCATATTGCCTCTATGAATTCAACGTACATGTATAAACATACACATAATGAAGGGTAAATACAAGAAATATTCAATTAGCAATCTGTATAAATATCTTTGGGGGGGGGGGGGGGGGGGCATACATACAGTACCTCATAAATTTCTGTGAGGAAATCTAAAGCATACATGGGTGCTTCTTCATGGGTGTTTGGAGATTGGTTTGCCCAGTGAACTATGGCTAGTAATGGTTCCTTGACCTGATTAACTGGACCAATCAGCATGTCCGAGAACTGGAGCCTAACCCCAAGGTCTAGTGTGGACATCACACTTCTACAAATCAGACCTCTCAGTCCCTCTATAGAGCAAAAACATAGCAGCAGCTCAAACACCTAAAAACAAGAAAGTAAATGTGTATATGTCTTATATAAATACAGGAAGAGGTAATGTATTTAGTGTTTTTAACAGTATGAGCAGTCATTATCAATTCATTTACAGATATTTTCTATTTTTTGAACCTGATCATAGTTCTTCACTTTATTTTGTACATTTACCTAACATTTACCTATAAAACATACATGTATCTCCTGTGTCCACTAAGGTGAGAGCTTAATCATGAAAAACATACTTTCTTATAATGCATCAATATAGCAATTTCAGGTCAAACTCATCTAAATTTTCTGTTAAAAAAGGGTCAAAATGAACTGCAAAGTACCACATACATGTACTAGTATTTTGAAAAAGAACCAGAAAGTTTTACCATGACTACTGTTTCTGGAGTACTAGATGGAATCAGCTTCAGTATTCCATCTATATAGGCTGACAGGCGGCTAAATCTACCAAAAGACAAAAAAAATTCTCACCATCAACTTGCAAATTTATCAAAATATTGATTTTGAAATCTCCTTTGTTTTGCTCTATAAATAACATGCCATGTGCTTTTTCTTCAAGAATTTCTTTTTATTCCAATGTTTGTACAAAGAACAACATGTACATTGTATATTTTTTTAATGTCAGTATTGCAAAGCAGATTTTTTTTCCTGAAATTTTGTAATTTCAGGTTTCTTTTTTTTTCATCTCATGAATATTCTATGGTTTAGACTTAATTTGTATAATGTGCAGTGTAGAGCCTCACTTTGAAAATTCCGCCTGTATTTGTCCATCCTTGAGGATCTCCTTAAACACATCCACACCGTATCTCCGAGACATCCACGTGTCCCCCTTCAGGATGATGTTGAAGATGGACTTGAACCATTGATTCATGTTAGACGGCTTAAAAATCTGCACAGTACAAAAGATTTATTAAGATATGCTGTGTACTTAAGACTACTCTTTTATCCTGAATGAAATTTAAACCCTTTTTCTTAAAAAATTGTCATAAACCACATTTTATTTATATATGCATTGTTATAATAATGATTATATTGTTTGTCTCTTAATTGTATATGCCCCCAGAGGGCCCTTGATTGGTGAATAAATAAACATATAGCTATCTGTACAGGTACATCTCAAGCCCCCCTCCACTTCCCCTCTTTCAAATTAAAACTTTTAACATTTTAAATAAGCATGAAAAATAGTCATCAAAATGTTGTTTTACCCTTGACTACCCCCCCCCCCCCCTTCCCCTCCTTCCATTATGTACTGTCCAAATGCATAAAAACAAATTACCACTAAGAAAACAAGAGGCCCAAGGGCCTTATAGGTCACCTGAGTATCATGCAACAACTTTCCAACAAATTAAACTTGATTCATGTTTTAAACCAGAGGCCATAGAATTCTGACACAATTTTGAAAGAGGAACCATTTAAGTTTTATTTCATAATGTTGTTGATTAATACCAAAGTGCAGCTTTCAAAGTATTAAATAATTTTCAGATTATGTAACCCCCCCCCCCCAAGCACCTCTGTCCCAGGGGCCAGTAAAATAACCGTTTTTGAAAGAAGCAGCTTTCTTTGTCATAAATATATACTAAGATCATTGGCATAATACCCAAGAAACAAGAGACCCATGGGCCACATCGCTCACCTGAGAAGCTTTGACCATTTTGTTCTTTACTAGATTTCCCCCTTGTTATACAAATTGTGACCCTACCCAACCCCACTCATCATAATTTAGACAAGTTGAAATCTATATTACCTCAGGATGCTTTCACATAAGTTTCAGCTTTTCAAAGATTGTTCAATATATTTCTATGTAAAACTTTGATTCCCAATTGTGGCCCTGACCTACCCCCCCCCCCCCCCCCCGGGTCATGATTTGAACAATTTAGAATCTACACTACCCTAGGATGCTTCCACACAAGTTTCAGCTTTTCTGGCCCAGTGGTTATTAAGAAGATTTTTTAAGATTTTTCCTATATATTTCTATGTAAAACTTTGATTCCCCATTGTGGCCCCGCCCAACCCCCAGGGGTCATGATTTGTACAATTTAGAATCTACACTACCCCAGGATGCTTCCACATAAGTTTCAGCTTTTCTGGCCCAATGGTTCTTGAGAAAAAGATTTTAAAAGTTTTTTTCCCATATATTTCTATGTAAAACTTGGATTCCCTATTGTGGCCCCGCCCTATCCCCGGGGGTCATGATTTGAACAATTTAGAATCTACACTACCCCATGATGCTTTCACATAAGTTTCAGCTTTTCTGGCCCAATGGTTCTTGAGAAGAAGATTTTTAAAGTTTTTTAATATATATTTCTATGTAAATCTTTGATTTCCCATTGTGGCCCCGCCCAACCCCCGGGGGTCATGATTTGTATAATTTAGAATCTACACTACCCCAGGATGCTTCCCTATAAGTTTCAGCTTTTCTGGCCCAGTGGTTCTTGAGAAGAAGATTTTCGAAGTTTTTTTCCTATATATTTCTATGTAAAACTTGGATTCCCCATTGTGGCCCCGCCCTACACCCAGGGGTCATGATTTGAACAATTTAGAATCTACACTACCCCAGGATGCTTCCATATGAGTTTTAGCCATCCTGGCCAACTGGTTCTTGAGAAGAAATTTTTTAACAGATTTTTCCTATATATTTCTGTGTAAAACTTGGATTCCCCATTGTGGCCCCGCCCTACACCCAGGGGTCATGATTTGAACAATTTAGAATCTACACTACCCCAGGATGCTTCCATATAAGTTTCAGCTTTTTTGGCACAGTGGTTCTTGAGAAGATTTTTAAAGATTTTCTCCAATATATTTCTATGTAAAACTTGGATTCCCTATTGTGGCCCCGCCCTACCCCCGGGGGTCATGATTTTAACAATTTAATATCTACACTACCCAAGGATGCTTCCACATTAGTTTCAGCTTTTCTGGCCCAGTGGTTCTTGAGAAGAAGATTTTTTAATGACCCCACCCTATTTTTGTCTTTTCTTGATTATCTCCCCTTGTAAGGGGACTTGGCCCTTCATTTTTACAATTTAAACTCCCCTTCACCTAAGGATGCTTTGTACCAAGTTTGGTTAAAATTGGCCCATTGGTTCTTGAGAAGAAGTCGAAAATGTGAAAAGTTTACGGACGGACAGACGGACGGACGGACGGACGACGGACACAATGTGATCAGAAAAGCTCACTTGAGCCTCCGGCTCAGGTGAGCTAAAAAGGAAAACATTTTCAAAGAATTCATGCATTTTCATTAAATAAACATTAGAGCCCCACCCTAACACAAGAAGCCCTGACCCAGGGGCTTTGAAATTCACAAATCTCAAAGAGGCATCCTTCCTTCTCATAACTATGTACATAGTTCATTGGTTAAATACCCAGGTGTAGAAAACAAGAGGCCCAGGGGCCACAGCGCTCACCTGAGCACACCGGGCTTGAATTTACTCCCCCCGCCCCCCCTCCCCCTCCAGGCGGTCATCATTTGAACAAACTAGAATCTACACTACCTGAGGATGATTCCATATAAATATCACTAATCATAGCTTTGAAGTACTTGAAAATAAGATTTTAAAAGGTTTCCCTATATATCCTTATGTAAAACTTGGGTCGGCCATTTTGGCCCCACCCTAGCCCCAGGGGTCATGATTTGAACAAACTTGAATCTACACTACCTAAGGATGATTCCACATGAGTTTCGTCTTTCCTGGCCCAGTGGTTCTGGAGAAGAAGATTTTTTAAAGATTTTTCCTATATATTCCTATGTAAAACTAGGGTCGGCCATTTTGGCCCCACCCTTGCCCCGGGGGTCATGATTTGAACAAATTTGAATCTACACTACCTGAGGATGATTCAAATCGAGTTTCATCTTTCCTGGCCCAGTGGTTCTGGAGAAGAAGATTTTTAAAAGATTTTTCCTATATATTCCTATGTAAAACTAGGGTCGGCCATTTTGGCCCCACCCTTGCCCCGGGGGTCATGATTTGAACAAATTTGAATCTGCACTACCTGAGGATGATTCCACATGAGTTTCGTCTTTCCTGGCCCAGTGGTTCTGGAGAAGAAGATTTTTAAAGATTTTTCCTATATATTCCTATGTAAAACTAGGGTCGGCCATTTTGGCCCCACCCTTGCCCCGGGGGTCATGATTTGAACAAAATTGAATCTGCACTACCTGAGGATGATTCCACATGAGTTTCGTCTTTCCTGGCCCAGTGGTTCTGGAGAAGAAGATTTTTAAAGATTTTTCCTATATATTCCTATGTAAAACTAGGGTCGGCCATTTTGGCCCCACCCTTGCCCCGGGGGTCATGATTTGAACAAATTTGAATCTACACTACCTGAGGATGATTCATCATGAATTTCATCTTTCCTGGCCCAGCGGTTCTGGAGAAGAAGATTTTTTAAAAATGCCATTAATTTTTAACAAATTCATGATTATCTCCCCTTGGAAAAGGGCATGGCCCTTCCTTTGAACAAACTTGAATCCCCTTTACCCAAGGATACTTTGTGCCAAGTTTGGTTGAAATTGGCCCAGTGGTTCTTGAGAAGAAGTTGAAAATGTGAAAAGTTTACAGACAGACGGACAGACGGACAGACAGACAGATTATGATCAGAAAAGCTCACTTGAGCCTTCAGCTCAGGTGAGCTAAAAAGATTTCTAGAGAATTTATGCATTTTCACTACATAATCAAAAAAGCCCCACCCTAACACCAGAACCCCTAACCCAGGGGTCATGAAATTCACAAATTTGGAATAGGCAGTCTTATTCAACATAACTACGTACTTGGTTAGTTTATTTAATACTCAGGAGCAAAGAAGAAGATTTTCAAAGAAATAAATCATTTTTACTATATAATCTATATAGCCCCGCCCTAGCACTAGAGCCCCTGACCCTGGGGTCATGAAATTCACAATTTTGGAAGAGGCAGCCTTATTCAACATAGCTATGTACTTAGTTAGTTTATTTAATCCCCACGTACAGAGAAGAAGAATTTCAAAGAATTTTTGCATTTTCACTATATAATCTATATAGCCCCGCCCTAGCACTAGAGCCCCTGACCCTGGGGTCATGAAATTCACAGTTTTAGAAGAGGCAGTCTTATTCAACATAGCTATGCACTTTTTTAGTTTATTTAATGCCCACAAACAGAAAAGAAGACGTTCAAAGAATTTTTTGCATTTTCACTATATAATCTATATAGCCCCGCCCTAGCACTAAAACCCCTTGCCCTGGGGCCATGAAATTCACAATTTTGGAAGAGGCAGTCATTTACAACTCAACTATGCACTTAGTTAGTTTATTTAATGCCAAGGAGCAGAAAAGAAGAATTTCAAAGAAATAATGCATTTTCACTATATAACCTATTTAGCCCCGCCCTAGTACTAGAACCCCTGACCCTGGGGCCATGAATTTCACAATTTTGGTAGAGGACTCAATGCTGATTACAATCATACTAACAGTTTGACTGCTTGATGTCCAGGAGTAAAGAAGAAGATTTTTAAAGATTGCATTAATTTTAGTGGTTTTTGCCCCACCCCCCAGGCCCCATGGGGGCAGGGACCACGAAATTCAAAATTTTTGTTCCCCTTTTCCCATAGATGCTCTATGCCAAATTTGGTTAAAATTGGTTCAGTGGTTTCAGAAAAGAAGCTGAAAATGTTCAAATGTTAACGCACGACGCACGACAGACGACGGACAAAAACAGATAGCAATAGGTCACCTGAGTTTACTCAGGTGACCTAAAAAAACATTTTCAAACATTCATAATGATTTCATTTCCAAAGTGCACTTGAAAGCAAAAAGTGCAAGTAAAAACTGTTTATCTTCATCTTCATCTCATGTTACACTATGTTCATTTCACAGTTGCTACCCTAACACTATATCAACATTAACAGACAAACTTACCCTGTCATATTCAAGGTCATGAAGCCAAACACTTGTGACCACAGAGAAAGAATAAATAATAAAATCTAGGCTACTCTCAGCTCCCATTATATGCTTCAGTAAGGTCTTCCTTAAATCTTTCGAGCATTCCTGAAATTCAGAAATACATGTAGTTAAATATACATTTTTATTTTTATTAATAATTGTAAATGTTAAAGTCAAAATAGAATTTATAATACCCTATTTCAAGAACATCAAGCCTTAGTTTACTTCCGTATACTCGCCTATACGTAGACAGGTCTATAAGTTGGATGTATTTTTAAAGCTTACATTTGAGGACTTGACCTTCTAAAATATAAGTCTTTATAAAACTTGCCTATAAGTCGGACCTAGTTTTAGACCAAATTTTTAACTCCCAAAAATATGACGCATAGGTGAGTATATCAGTAATATTGAAAACCAATCTTCACCATATTTTTGAGATGGGACTGTACAGCAAAATTATCTTTACAGAGATTGACCAGCAGCCCCAGACAGACCTGTGTAGTATCCTCAGCGGGGTCAGATCTGAAACGCAAAAACAATGCTCTGTTCAACATCAGCAATAAATCAACAATCACAGGGACATTAAACTAAAGCTGGAATTAATTTTACAAGTGGTGTGCTATAAAGTAAATAACAGCATAAATATTTGAAAGATCCCTATGGATGAAATATAATATTCATTGAAACACGTGTATTTTCCTACTGCAATTATTTATAACAATGTTCCATCATACTTTCATTCATATGAATGTTTTCTGAAAATACTGTTATTAAAATTTGGTTCTCACAAACTTAAAAGGGTTTTAATGCTTTGATATACTGAAGGTTTGAATATTACATACTGAGACGGTAGCCGAGCCTTCTAAATCACTCTGAGATATTCATGGTGTTTGAGATCAAATGTCTGAGATAAATTTATGCACACAAAACTGTATGTAGGATTTTCTATTTATTTAACATGCTTAATAAATATTATGAATAAACTTTCTAAATGTATAAAAGCATTTGAAAATATGTCATTGTTTAAAACCAAGACAACTTTTATTTTTTATTTTTTTTTTTGGGTTTACAGGATCTAATTGAAACCTTGGCAATGTTTACATTTGTAGAGTGTCAGATCAGAAAATACAGCATGACAAGACAAAGTTTACATGTGTGATATATTTCATTTACTACGTCTTGGCAATGTTCACACGTATGGATTATGGAACGAAAAAATTCTAGCATGTTGAGGCAAACCTTACATGTGTGAAATGATAAATTCTAGCAGGTCTTGAACATAGGTCTCCTGGAGTACCATTTTATGTCCATATGTTATTCTTTGTAACAAATGAAGGGACTGAAAGAGATAAAAAATTATTGATTTCATCATGTTCATTATGCTGTTTATGTTAATGTGGCCGTTTAAAAGTGGAATTTCATTACCTGTGACAATGTTAATACTGATATTGTGTTGAATCATAAGTAAGTGTTACAAAACCGTGACTGTACAGGGGTAGAAACTCCTTAAAATTACAATTCGAAAATACATATAATTGAGAGTAACAAAAAAGTGAACTTGCAATTTCAAAAGACTTCTCACAATTTTCATATCAAACCCTGTATATCAAATCAAATCAACTTGCAAGTTTTTACAAGTCAACAAATTTTACAAGTCAAAATTTGAGAATTCTTTTTAGCATTTTGCAGGTTGTATATATAGTGGATTTCAAACCTTGCTAACAGTAGGCCTGAGTATTGCAAGCTACCTAAAGATATGATAAATTTCACAATATGGTCATGCGATAGAACATGTATCATGTTACAGCTGTCAACAATTAAATTAACTGATATCTTAACACGTTCTTGCTTGCAACATTGTAACCTGAATTACCTCCACAGTTATAGAAAATATAAGAAGAATATCTTGAAACCCCTAACCAAATTTATTTATAGGGGGACTTTTACCTTATCATTGTTTTTTTGGTTGCTATCTTGTTTTCAATCATTTGTTACATTAAAATTTCCCAGTTTGCATGTTCAAGTTTCAAGTAAGACAATGAAAATTAACTTGTACTGTACCATGATACATATATGTCAATACTATTTGCGTATCATGAGACCCAACCATCAGTACAATTGATGAATCGCTGGGCCATCCTTAAAAAAATGTTTGTTTGGAATTGCCGCCTGGGGGTTTTAAGACCCATGAGGGAGGGAGGGAATTTATTTTTTTTTTTTTTTTTTACAAATTGAAGCTAATTAACAGAAATTAAAAATCGCAATGAACAGTGGTGATTTTCGTTAGTTTCCTCTTTATTTTATTTGATTAATATCATTTTTGTCTAAAATATACACAGAACGGTACTCAAGTATCAATCTTTCTTCGATGTTAGATTTGCTTATCTATTAAAAGTCAAATTTCAGCGTCAAACTTTTTTCTTTATTTTAAAATTCTTTTAAAAACAATTTCTTTACAAATCTTATTAAAACAGTTTCATTAGTGTGTTTCATAGCATTTCTCTTTGAAATTTAGCCCTTCATTAAGACAACCCTTACAAAGAGTGCGAACCACACAAAATTTCTTAAGAATAGTTGGGATATTTTGTTGAAAAACGGGAGGGGGTGCTTGGTATGTTCTAGAGTGTTCCCCATGAATCACTTTTAACATTAGGTTTCAAAGACTTGTCATACTGACAGACAACATTTTTCCTTTTGTATTTGGGAATAAACATTTCTGACCCATGTAATTTTTTAATTGGGAACTGAACGATCTTTTTCAATTTCAACATGACGGACTTATCCTATCAAGTTCAAAGGGCAATCTATTACAATAGCTCTTTCCAGGTCTCGGAGTATCATTCCATTTAATTTTTTATTCACCATTTATTTTTATGAAGATGCATAAATGTTCTGGTATTCAACGCTTGAATGTTTTCACATACACTGATCCAACATGGTCTGACATTTTGGCGGCTTTCATTTTGTCAAATCGCCACCTATATTCCCTATATCATAAATACTATGAAGAAAGCGTTTTATTGACCGGTGTTGTTAAATTTATGTGAGCTCAAATCCGACTTTAAAAAGCTATTTCGAAGAACGAACTAACTTGTAAAAAGCGATGTCGGACATAAGACGGTAAAAAAAATATTTCCAATATTTTGCCAATAAAATTTTTTGAGCGGGGGGGTATTTCAATGAGGCGGGCGGCAATTCCAAACAAACTATAATTTTATTTTGGCCCTGTATTGTTACATATACACCTATAGCTGACAGGACATGAATACTTTATAATGTTTTGAAAAAGATATTCTCAGATATGTACTAGAATTAGGCGAAGATAATCTACTGTAATTAAACAAATATTTTAGTACTGAAAATGATGACACAGGCACCTACCTCCATGCACAATGGATTGACTCCAGAATTATGCTTGACTATCTCCACCAAGACGGGTGTCAGATTAAATGACTCGTGGAAGGATTCTCGAATTTCCTTTTCTGAAGCTAAATAAAAGAATTGAAGAAACGTACAGACTTGTACATGTAGTAGGTTTGTATGGAAGTAAAGGATCTTGAAATACTTCAATAACACCTGTAAATACCTAGGTTTCTTAGAAGCTGAAGGCACTTAATGACAAGTGATGGCTTCATGTCATTGGTTTCACTCAAGATGTCTATGATCACAGTCAAGCATTCTGTGGGTAAGAGATTCCGAGGATGGAAAAACTTCAAGTCTGATCCACGAGATGTTATGCCTAAGAGGACCTGTTAAAAACAAACATAATTATTTACATTAAACATAATAATACCATTCATAAGAAACAAACTGGGACCAAAAAAAGTCACTTCACAGCATTTTAATGAGTGCATTTGGCAGCATGTTTTCATGAAGGAAAATTCTGTTAATTTTTGAGGAAAAATATTATAACTGCATCTGCAATTCTGTAGGAATGTCTTTCCTTGGATCAACGTGATCAATGAAAATTCAAATGTCTTATAAAATTTTTTTAAAATGTGCATGCATGTAATGTATTTATAAGTTTTGATAATCTTTTTATCTGGCATTCCAGGCTGAAATTGAAATTAAAGAAAAATATCATACATCCAGTTGGTGTTGAAACAAAATCATGTTGGAGTTGTTCTTGTTGAAGATATACTGATTGGCTGTCATAATGACATTTTTAATTATTGAGGTCTTCTCCATGTTCTCCATTCTGGATGTCTGTGGTCAATGGTTCTACAAATAAAAAGAAATTAACTTACTGAATGATCTTTTTCATTCTTACTCAGATACTAAACGTTTTCTAAAACATTTTATTCAATAAACAACATGTATCCCACCCAACCCTCCGTACCATCAATCTAAGCTGCAGAACTGTAGCTCTCCGAAAAAAATATATTGACAGACCGGAGAGCTACAGTGCCACCAATTGAAAACATAGGTAATCAGAGATTACAGAGCTCACCTCAACGTGTGTTGTCTTTAAGTAAGGCAAATTAAGTCACACAATTAACCAACAAAAAGTGTACATCCAAAAATGCAAAATTTATGCAAATTTGATACTTTGGAATAGACCTATATAAAAACTAAAAACTAGTTCTTCATCATGAAAATGTAATTAAAATCCAGCATCTGAAGCAAGATTGAGAGTTTTCATCCCTTGATGCATCATTTGTGCAACTGGTTTATATAAGCCTTATAGTTTCTTGGTGATAGACTTGCACCCATAACTTTTACGAGGTCTATTATCTGGAAAATGTATGTCGAATTCAGCATCTGAAGCAAGTCCATTAGTGTGCATCCTAAGATGTATCATCCATGCAAGTTTGGTCAACATAGGGCTTAAAGTTACTTGCAAATGAAACCTGTATAAAAAAATTAACCTTTCCACTAATCCAGATAATGTAGGTCAGATTCAGCATCCGAAGCCAGCCTAGTAGAATGCACCCTTAGATGTACCATCCATGCAAGTTTGGTCATTATAGGGCTCAAAGTTACTTGGAAATGAATCCTGCACCATAAACTTTAACCTGTTTACTCGTCCAGAAAATGTAGGTCAGATTCAGCATCCGAAGCAAGTCTGGTAGTATGCATCCTAAGATGTACCATCCATGCAATTTAGTCGTTATAGGGTTCATAGTACTGTACCTTGGAAATGAAACCTGCACCCAAAATTTTAACCTGTTCACTCAACTGGAAAATGTAGGTCAGATTCAGCATCAGAAGCAAGGCTGGTAGTATGCATCCTAAGATGTATCATCCATGTAAGTTTGGTCATTATATGTCTCATAGTAACTTGGAAATGAAACCTGCACCAAAAACTTTAACCTGTTCACTCAACCGGAAAATGTAGGTCAGATTCAGCATCCGAAGCAAGTTTAGTAGAATACATCCTAAGATGTACCATCCATGCAAGTTTGGTCATTATAGGGCTCAAAGTATCTTCAAAATGAAACCATCACCAAAAACTTTAACCTGTTCACTCAACCGGAAAATGTAGGTCAGATTCAGCATCCGAAGCAAGGCTGGTAGTATGCATCCTAAGATGTATCATCCATGTAAGTTTGGTCAACATAGGGCTTATAGTTACTCGGAAATGAGACCTACACCAAAAACTGCACCAAAAATGTTAACCTGCACCAAAAACATTAACCTGGTCATTCCATTGCTGAAATTGCAGCATCTGAAACTTTGACTGGTACAATGAAACACACTAGCAACATCTTCCATGCATGTCTAATCAATATAGGACATAGAAGTACTTAAAAAGAAAACTGCTCCAAAAAACTTAACCTTAACCCGGGACGCCGACGCCGACACCGACACCGACGCCGACGCCGACGCCGAGGGTATCACATAAGCTCCCCCCAACTTCGTTGAGGTGAGCTAAAAACTGTATATTTATCGAGCACAAAAAAGTGCGCTGTTTCCCCAGTTTTTAAAACTGTAATCTCAAAATGTATGTTGCAGCTAACTGATTTTAGCATGGGAGAGAAGCGATCTGGGCTACTTCCTTTGAGTTTGATGTGGTGACAATGTGATGTAGTATTTAAACCTCTTGACAATCAAAGCGTTAGCACATCATAAACAGCGTAATCCGTTAGGTCTATTGAAATCAGCTCTACTAACCGTGTGTTTCTGACATATTCTTTCACTATTTCCACAATAAAAGTTATGAAACATTCCTTAAAATGGTTGTTAATAGTCCTCCTGGCCCTGAAATTGAGATCATTGAAAATTTCGCCATTTATACTGTCATTTTGGTTTGCAAGATAATTGGTCCAATGCCCTTTGTGCAGATGTTTTGACTACGTGAGAGTACTTGATAGAGGAGTAAAGAATGTTTTTAAATTTAGCTTTTTGCAAATGAGGTAAAAAACTGAAAGAATTGATCAAGAACTGAGCACACTTTTTAGTGCGCAATGAATATACATTTTTTCAATGGGTGGCACTGTAGTCTCCGGTCAGTCAATATAGTTTTTTTTTGGAGAGCTACGGTTCTGCAGCTACAATACATCAATCTGCATCGCATCAATTTACCCAAATGGACCTAAATGATGACCCAAAGGACGACCAAATGGACTTCTGTAGACTTCATATCAAAATCAGAATGCATTCATATATTAACAGGTTGGGATTCATCCCCCGATATCGGGATTGTCTCTGAAATGAGGGATATTTCCTTTTATCATGTTTATGGTCAAATAAATATCTATGGTATGTGAGACAATGTTCACTCCTTTTGTTATTTAAAGCAATGCATGCTTTATAAGCAGAAGCGCGAAATTTCTGACCCAGTATATGTACAGGAAGACTTGAGAGACAATCCCGATATCGGGGGATGAATCCCAACCTGATTAAGAATAAAGTTAATTTTTGCATTGAAATATACAAGACAGAGAAAGATGAAAACAGTATTATTTCAATAATATAAACTTTTTGCATAATGTTATCTGCTTTTTTATTGCTCAAATCAGGAACCAATGTAAGTATCTGTTATATTATTACTTTTAATCACGGTATTTCCTCGCTATAAATAAAAACCCGCTTTGTTTACATTTGCACAGACATGTTCGTATACTTACATTTCGCAGATTTTCGTCTATCAAGCATTAAATTTTCTTGAAGCTAAACTACACAGCATATATAGAAAAATTGTAATTAAAATCAAAAGTAAATCATAGTTTAGTAGCACTAATAATTGTAATACAAATTAAAATTGCCATGTCGTATCACAGTCGCCATTTTGAAATTTAAACTTCGCGCCACTCGGAGCTCCTCGAATGATTCTGTAAATCGGATTTCCTCGACCTTTTCCATCTCACACTAAAGATAAAGTACTTAGAGTGAAGAATCTTTATTTTAGTAACATTAAGGTATCCATATTGTACAATTAGGCTGTAATTTTCGGTAAACTTCGGATTGATCTCGGTAGGGGTAACACGAATCACCGGAATGCCCTGTAATCACCGAAATGCCCTTACAAATCACCGAAATGCCCAACAAAATCACCGAAATGCCCACACATATGTTTTTACATGATGTTTTTCATAAAAATTAATTCTTATTTTTATCATTAAAGCATAACTGACGGTAAAATTAATTATTTTCAGGTTTTGTGCGCGCGTACTTCAAAGGGCGATAACTCGTATTTGATGATAATTTTCTAGGAAGCGAGATCTACGTAGCCCAATAGATATATATAAAATAATAATGATATTTTTTAGAAAAAAAATGATGACAAGTGATTGACAATTTGTTACCCGTCACAGTTATTGTTTCATGACCTTTAATCAATAATGTAATGTTAAAATATGTTTTGTATAGGTTCCTAGTCTTGATGTTTATAGTCAAGTGCACATGCTATTATTACAGATACTTATATCATACGAACACTGTTTTTTTAACTAGCTGAAGTTTTGTGGAATTTTGATTTGTTTAAGTTTTTTTTTTTATTAAATGTTTGTGTCCTTTTCTTTGTTTTTTCTTTCTTCCTTTTTAATTGACTTTTTGTGAACAGGTTGGACCATTTATACGCCTGCCGACGCCTGTCTGGGGAAATACTTGTAGGTCTGGCGGTAAACTCTAAATACCCGTCATTAATTATGGAGTAAATTTATCTTTTATTAAATATATCTAATTTTAAGGACTATAAAGTTTATGTTTTACCAAACAAAATGAGAGAGAGAGAGAGAGAGAGAGAGAGAGAGAGAGAAGATAACGGTAGACCAACTCCTGTGATAATTTACGATCGATATGAAAGATTTTCAAAAGACAAATGCAATAACAAAAGGAAAAAAAAAAGTTTTTTTACTCTGTACTTTGTTAAGCAATGAAAATGTTTTTATCTTTTAAAATAAATATTTATCTTAATTTGTTACTTGCAATTGATTAGATACATATTGTCAGTCAGGTGAATTACGGATCGTTTCACTTGTATATTAGCAAATATTTTGGAAGTAGCAAGTGCTTGATAAATCATGTAATGTGTCTATTAAACCCATTCAACAACTTAAAAAAAATTAAAGTAAATTGTCAACTTTAACTATTTCATTTTCAATTGATGTAGTAAACTGTTCATTAGCAAAAGATCCCCTTTCCTGTGTTTGTATAGCGCACGTGCGTAATTTCGGTCACTGATTGCCATGTACCTGATGATGTAACATGACATAAGAATACTACACACCTGTCACTAGATCAATTATTTAATCACTGTGTATACACAGTAAACATAATTATTATTTCAGATATCCAATTGTTTCAAACCAATTGAACATTGAACACAATAAAATCAAATTAATTTTGTCTTCGTTCTTTTTTATCTTTATAGTAAAATATGAAACTTCCGAAAAAAGTTTGTTATCTTATATATATACGAAAATGAAATAAATTCATAATTTTTATAGATTTTATTTCTTTCAATATTGCAGTTCTTTTCTGTGCTGAAATGAAAAAAAGTGTATAATGACTTATTTTCCTCAGAAATAGTGTGAACATAATATAATATAATTAATTTACTAATTAGATCAGCAAAACTTTAATTCATACATGTAATATTTATAATAGACTATCAACCATTTCCTTCTATCCTTGTAAATTAAATTAAACAATGAACAAGTGACATATATAAGTCCCTGATTATACCAATCATATATTCTTATTTTTCAGTGAATAAAAAATAAATTTTGATTAAAGTCATATATGGCATATATTTTTGTTTATATACTATAAACGTAAAATCTTTCTATTTGATTATAAATGTTACTTTCCAGTAAAATTACACATGTGTCCTCCTTTTTTAGAAATCAAGAAAATACGTCAATAATATTACAAACAAAAATTTTATAAAAGAATAGCTTATTGTTAGGAATATATTTAAACGAAAAATAGGGAAAAATAAAATAAATAAAAACTATTTTGGCAAGTGTCTTTTATTAGTGAGAGTTATCTTTCTTTGATACTTACATGCACATATCTTCAAATAAAAATACTTACGCTAAAATTATGAAATTTTTACTTGGTATCTACGCTTTAGAACAGTCAATTTCATCAATATTTATTATTTTTTTGTTTATTCTTAACAATATAAGGGGCTTTTCGGTGGCATTTCGGTGATTTCTTGGGGCATTTCGGTGATTACAGGGCATTCCGGTGATTCGTAGTACCGTCTCGGTAGTTTACGTAATAAAATGCTTTTTCAGTTCGAGTCAATATCAAAGGCCAAAATTCGAATAATTTTGTTTTAATTGATAGATATTTAAAGAAAACAACGAGATGATAACAAATTTGTTGTTTAAATACGTTTAAATGTACATCTTTTAAAATAAAACGATGTCTCCGAGACTATAAAATTCAAGATGGCGGCGCCCATGAAAAGTCGGACAGGGAAGGAACGGTTCAAGAAAAGACATAATTTGACGCGCGCCTAGTTGATTTAGAAGATCGTACTTGTGAAATAACCTTATTTGTGATTCCATGCATGTTTGTGAGGAATGCTCTGGTGGTATGACCCTAATTTTAACCAGTAAGAGACTAAGAGTTCGTAATATGACTCGAAGGAGGGTCATCGAGTTTGATGTTCATTGCCTCAAATTGTGTTCAAAATGTCACTTCGGACCATTATTCTCTTGCAAGAGAGCAATTAAATGTGAGTGAAACTCGGGTTAGGTGGTACATACAGTGCGGGAATTGCTTACAGTTGCCATCGATGTTCCCAAAAGCTGAGAAAATCCAATGGGATGCAGAACTTCAGTGTCAATACTCAATACACAGATTGTAACAGGTAAGTATTTATATTTATATTTGTTTATGGAATTTATGTTATCTAATTTAGGCATTGACAACTAGTATAAAATATAATTTAGGCATTGACAACTAGTATAAAACATTATTGGAGCTTAATTCCTCATCTAAATTTTCATCTGAAACCATGATATTTTGGTCAAGGCCTATAATTTATAAATAGGATTTACATGTTCATGCATCTAAATAATTGCATGTAATATAATTGTATCTATCCTTTTTGTAGCTATAATCTACAGTTCATTGTGGGAGACCCTCAGAAGATAAACAACATGTCGTCAACTTTAAATCTACAATTAATACATGAAAGGATTTTGAAGGTATGAACAGTTTTATTATATCATTTAGTAGATACATATATTTTAAATTTGGTGGCTTTAAAATCAAATGTTTATTCGTCAATTTGCTCAGGAATCAGTGTAAGAAAAATATTTGACTACATGCAGTAGACTACCCCGGGTATAAGTTATCATGTTGGAGGGAATGAATCACATGCACATTATTAATCTGTATGAAACAATCATCTGTAGTACAAATATATTTCTCATTTTCAACAGGTGTTCAATGCTGAAAAATCAAAGAACTACGGATATTTGTGTGTGTTGATTGGTAAAGTTTCATGAAGAGGAGTCTGGCAGAGACGATGGCACTTTCTCATATAAAGCTGATCTATAGCTATGACAGAGATGGTGAAAATAGATTAATTTATGTTTTCTCCCAAAACCAGTGTTGGCAAACCTAGAGTGACTGGAACATCTAAAGTTCTACAAAATATTGTCCCAAAGTTGTGTGAATTTTTTGCTGCCATATAAATTTATCAATTGTATCTAAACAAGTTGGTCTGTTTTATGGATCCTCTACTAGTATAACACATACCTTATGAGCTTACTGTCAGAGTCCTTATAGTATCACAAGTACTATTTATTGTGTCATTATTAAAATCTTGAAATTTATTTTCTAAGTCATTCTGTATCGAATGTTTATCACTCTGCTTTGATACAATTTACTGTCGCTATCAATTTTTTAACCTCAGTATTTCTGTTTAAAATTTTTTTTCATTCTTTCGTGTACATTTTTAAATTCTAGACATAATTATAAATTCACATTTGCAGAACTTCAAACCATTTTCATTTATATAAATCAATTTTGTACATTGAGTTATGAGATTCATTCATAATTTTTGACTTGCAAAAAAGTAAAAAAAAAAAAAAGTGTTCAAATAATTGAAGGGAAAAGTGTTTTGACTTTTCTAATGTATATTGTGTAATGTGTAATTATAAATATTTTCTCTTTCAAAATGTTAATGTTCCATGGTAAAAGCATGTTGCAAATGACATTATGAACTTGAACGTTTATTTTTACAAAAAGACCATTTTGTAATTTTTTTAATAACACTCTGACCAATATGTTTTATTATTTAATATTATTAAATTTTATATAAAGATTACAATATGAAAGTAATTTTTGTGTCATTATTGTGGAATAAACTTCTTAGATACCAATTTATGTGATTTTCCTTAGATTTTAGTTGTCATCAAGAGTTATCTTCCTTAAATGAGTTGTTGCCCCTGATGACCCAATTTTTTAATTTGTCATGACCCATACTTTGATTTTAGAACATTAAATCATAGGGTTTCCAGGCATAAAATTTTACCCATTTGTACAATGGATACCTTAAAGTATATTTGAAGAAAAAATTATTTATTTAATATAAATTTAACATAATATAAATTTAACAATTCAAAAGTCAAGCCGCTATGTTTAAAACACAGGCACCTGAAGTATTGATAATTACGACGGCGTATTAGTGCCATTTTAACAATGTAGAATTTTTTTTAAAATCGTTTGTACGATTTAATAAATCGTTTGTACAATTTAATAAATCGTTTGTACGATTTAATAAATCGTTTGTACGATTTATTAAATTGTACAAACGATTTACTAAATTGTACAAACGATTTATTAAATCGTACAAACGATTTATTAAATCGTACAAACGATTTAATAAATTGTACAAACGATTTAACAAACAAATTGTACAAACAATTTATTAAATTGTACAAACGTTTTACTAAATTGTACAAACGATTTATTAAATCGTACAAACGATTTACTAAATTGTACAAACGATTTATTAAATCGTACAAACGATTTATTAAATCGTACAAACGATTTATTAAATCATACAAACGATTTAATAAATTGTACAAATGATTTAATAAATTGTACAAACGATTTAACAAACAAATTGTACAAACGATTTATTAAATCATACAAACGATTTACTAAATTGTACAAACGATTTATTAAATCGTACAAACGATTTACTTAATCGTACAAACGATTTACTAAATCGTACAAACGATTTACTAAATCGTACAAACGATTTACTAAATCGTACAAACGATTTACTAAATCGTACAAACGATTTACTAAATCGTACAAACGATTTACTAAATCGTACAAACGATTTACTAAATCGTTCAAACGATTTATTAAATCGTACAAACGATTTAAAAAAAAAAATTCTACATTGTTAAAATGGCACTAATACGCCGTCGTAGATAATACCCCCATTTTTTTTTATAAAAAAAAAATGTAAGAGTGTTAAGAGTGTAAGAGAGAGGAATTCAGGGATTTTTTTTTTCTATCTCAGTTTTGCCTCAAGGTGAAAATGGAAATTTCAAAATCTTTTTGCACATGTTTAAGGCATCACCAATCAAATAAAAAACAAATAATGATAAGTACGTTAGCTAAGTATTGCTAAGAATAGCTGAGGAAGAAGAAATTATGTTAGACAGACGGACAGATCGCTAAAGGTATTATAACAAGTTTATCTTTTTAAAATAGGTGAGCTAACGCCGTAGCAATTTTTTTTATCACAGAAAGAAAGGTCCATGATCAAGTGATTTATTTTGCTGAATTTTTTAATGTTTATGGAGGCTGGAGCGTGATAAAATTAATTTATAACTGTTTTGTGAAGTTTATTTTATAGACACATAGGTAAAGAAACGAGGGGGGGGGGGGGTTGAAGTTTTTGTGTTGACCTATCAGAGTTTTGGCGCAACGGAACATTTATGACCTTTACTGGAGAGGGGGAGACTCTTTATTATGTTCCCCAAACGAAGTTGGGGAACATATTGTTTTTACTCTGTTTCTTATTATTATTATTATTATTTTTCTTCTTCCTGGGAAAATTTTGTCCACGAGTGATCTTGTAAACTACACATCCGACTTAGGTGAAACCTTTTTAGGGTCAGTAGGCATGTTATGTAGACTTGCCTAACGAAGGTCATTTTGCGCGCACATGCTTGCAAGAGCGCGCACGTGCAACACGTGAAATGACCAATATAATGGATATTGCCGTAACGTTTCTATTTTTTGATGAAATTTTTTGAAACTCATAATGGAAGGAAACATTAGTAGTATAGACAAGATGGCATGGTCAAAATAGCAAGATCTCACGCGCATGCACGTGCGCTTCGCTCTGATTGGCTGAAACTAAAGTCTCAATATCTTTCTTGTTTCTCGTCATAATCCTTTGAAATTTTGAACATAGTCCTACACTATGAAGATCTACAGCAAGACATCTAAGAATTTTCAGGAAAACATGCGCATCGCGCGTGCTGCAATCTGATTGGCTGAAACTTTAAATGGCTATATCTCCTTTGTTTTTTGACGAAATTCTTTGAAATTTAAAACATAGTCATGCATTAGGATATCCTACAATATGATATAGAAAAAAATTCATGAAATCACGCACATGCACGTGTGCTGCAATCTGATTGGCTGAAACTTGAAATGGCTATAACTCCCTTGTTTTTCAAGCAAACAGGATAGGATTTAGAACATAGATAGACATAAGGGACTTCTACAAGAAGTTATGGTCATCATGCACGTGCACGCACGTGCGTGCATTTGGAACGAGTGAAATTAAAAATACACTTGAATCAGTGATTTTTATTATTTTTGGACTGAATGCTTTAATATATAGTATATTAAAATAAATAGATAGTGTAGACAAGATGATATGGTCATAACGCACATGCATTCACATGCGCACGGGTGCAATGCTAAAATTTGAATATAACTGGTATCCTTCTGGGAAAACATTGTTAAAGTAAAAAATGCACAGAGTTTGTCTTATTTAATGAAGCTTACAGGGAATATGGCACCAAAAGGGAGTTGGGGAGCGTTTGGGGAACATCTGTAACGGTCCCCGTTACAATTAGCACTAGTTTATAATATGGTGAAGATGCCGATTGAGGCATTGTATATAATGAGCTGGTTTAAGAATAGAATTTCTTGGCAATGTAGCAAAGAAAATACAGGGGAGTAAAAAGGAATATAGAAAATAACTCAAAGTGTATGTTGTATAAAGAAATCCGGAGAGTTCTGAATGTGAAGATGTGAAGTATAGTTTGGTCCTTTGTGTCATCTTTGACAAGAACTGTTACTAGGTTAAAAGCCATGCACATAAGAATTTTTTTTATATAAATAATGGATTTTTTCGTTATTTTTAGTGTAAATTCTTGTTTCTGGAATTTGTAAGATTGGCTGAATTGACCAATCAGAAATTAGAGTCTATCTTTGGTTGTGCTTAGACGTAAAAAAAAAGATCTCCCTTGTCTTTGTTTAGAACAATCAGATAATGCATGACTCGGGCTTTTCCGTCAGCAAAAAAAAGGGAAGTTCGAACATGTTGAAGCATTACAATTATGTAGTTATCTCGAAAGAATAAGCAATTCAGAATGGCAGTATCTGTCATGGCTTTATTTTGTTTAAGATAGGTTATTACATAATAAATCAATGGTATCAAACAATGGACAATGATCAAGTATTATTGCAAGTGTCAATGAGTAAGCGCCGATCCTCAATCTGGCATTTGGCGCCTACGGTTTGCAGAGAAACGGAGCCATATGGTGCTGACAACCCTGGAGGGTAAACAGAAGTTGCCAGCGATGGCTTGTTGCAAAATTCTGTAGTTCGTCGGCATGGATTGCAGCCTGGAAGGATCTCTAAAGCCATGACGAGGGACGATGTTGCGCTGGAATCGGAAATGATAACAGCAGAAACACAGGAGAAAACTAATAATAATTGAATGCACAATATTTATGCCCTAACATACCTATGATAAAAATACTATATGTATGCATATCCGCGTACGTAACTGAATAGGGTGATGTATGTATGTAAGCAGTTTTTATGGATGACTGGTATATGTAAGCAAGTTTTATGGATGATCGGTGTAAAGGAAAAAACTGTGTGGATTAGATGAGGAATATTAATCTACATAAAATGGTGGGGGCGGGTGGGTGATCAAAATCGTCGAGCGAAGAGGATGTGTGCGCAAGCGCATTTAAGGCTTGGGGCTATTTTGGAAATTTGGTTGAGGACAGGGGAGTTATCGCGCTTAGGCTATTCTTCTTCGATAACTGGCATTTACCGCACATGGCGGTAAATGCAATTATCTCGAAAGAATAAGCAATTCAGAATGGCAGTATCTGTCATGGCTTTATTTTGTTTAAGATAGGTTATTACATAATAAATCAATGGTATCAAACAATGGACAATGATCAAGTATTATTGCAAGTGTCAATGAGTAAGCGCCGATCCTCAATCTGGCATTTGGCGCCTACGGTTTGCAGAAACGGAGCCATATGGTGCTGACAACCCTGGAGGGTAAACAGAAGTTGCCAGCGATGGCTTGTTGCAAAATTCTGCCAAGTGGATTGCTGTGCACGAATTTCGATGGTTCCAGAATTCCAGAGGAACTTGGCAGGGATAATAGTCTGCATGGGGGGCCAGCTTCCTGAACTTTTGCCACTGAAAACGAGATATGGCATCAGCTATAGAATTAGAATGACCTGGTACATGTTCGCAGCGGACTTGGATATTGTATTTTAATATTTTATAAAGAAAAGGCCTGAGGAGGGACATAACTCTTGGTGACTTTGATGTTTTTTGGTTGATTATCTCGACAATAGCCATGTTATCAATATGCAAGATTATTTTTCTGCCTTGTAGTTTGTGGCCCCATATGTATATTGCAAGGGCGACTGGGACTAGCTCCAGATAAGTCAGATCTCTACAATCGTGTTGTGACCATTCTGAGGGCCATTGTAGGTAGGACCATTGTGTACCAAGTATGACCCCACACCCAAGTGAACCAGAGCTATCAGAGGATATGTGAATAGTGTCTTTATCTGACCAGTGAATATCTGGGAATACAGTTGTGCCATTAAAGTCGGACAGGAACTCGAGCCATATATCTACATCTTCGCGAAGTGCCCTTGAGATAGTGATATAATGGTGTTGTTTGTATCCCTGTGATAGGCTGTCATAAAATCGCCTACAAAAGGCTCTCCCTGCAGGTATTGCCTTAGAAATAAATGCCAAAGATCCAACTAATGATTGCATTTCTTTAAGAGTAATTTTGCGACGCGAGGCAACGTTTTGAAGTTGGGCTTTAAGGGCGTCGACTTTATCTTTAGGGACAAATATAGTTTGGGTGATGGTATTAATCCCTAACCCTAGAAATGTTAAACAAGTTGTAGGACCTTCAGTTTTTTCCTCTGACAGAGGAACGCCGAGCGTTTCACAAGTTATGTCAAATATTTGCATGAGGTTTTTGCACACAAGGGTGTTTGCAGGGCCTGCAAAAAGGAAATCATCAAGGTAGTGTACTAATGTGTCAATATTGGCTCGATCTTGAATAATCCAATGGAGGGCTGTTGCAAATTTTTCAAATGTAGCACATGCTATAGAGCAACCGAATGGGAGGCATTTATCGAAATAATAGTTGTTAAAATAAAAACCAAGCAAGGAAAAATCCTCGGGGCGAATAGGAAGGAGTCTGAATGCACTAGAAATGTCTTTTTTCCCCAACAAAGCTCCCTTGCCTAGTTCTTTTATCATTCTTACTGTCGAGTCAAATGATGTATAATGAACGGTGCAGAGATCTGGGTCTATAAAGTCATTAACACTATTTCCCTCTGGTGCAGATAAGTTACAAATCATACGCCACCCCCCTTGCTTTTTGGGAACAATGCCTATTGGGCTACACTTGATATTTGACATGGGGATATTCTTGAACGGCCCAGCTACTCTACCTAATTTAACCTCTTGATCAATTTTTTCTTGGAGCTGCTGTGAATTTGTTTGTGCAGATTTCATGTTTTTAGATTTTTGATATTCCCGTATACCCGAATAACAAATGTTGAAACCATATTGAAAACCATTGATTAATTCATGAGCAATATGTTGCAAGGGGTAGTCTTTTAGCATTGATTTTAGGATGTTAACGTTGACTGGGGTTGGGGCCAAGTCCCAGAGGCCTTGGTTGGTTTGGGGGGAACCCTCTACTCTGAAATCTGCTTGGGGGCTGACGGGGATGTTCGGCTTGGGATGGGCGAAAGTTTTCTGTGCGAAATGCCTGACTGTTGTGCCAGCGGCAGTTTATGAGTGGGTGATTATTGGAGCATTTAATGCAAGCATGTTGATAAGTGCAGTATGGTCTTCCGCATGTGCCTTTGTAATTGAAGTCAAAGCATTTTGGCGATTTAGTTGTATAATTTGGGGTTTGCTGTGATAGAGTGTTGTGGCCATGAGACACATACAAGAGCCATAATTCTGCGTCGACACACCCCCAGTCGAGAGTATGGTTCCTGGAGCGCTTTAGTCTAAACTGTATGTCATAATTGAGCCAGTTTAAGTTTGATGATCGCTGTGCAGCAGTGCGTATGATGTTAATGTATTTAAGGATTGATTGAATGTGTTCAGGGAACTTAGTCAAGTAAATGCTGCTGAAAATGAGGAAAGCATTTGTCCATGTTTCAGTTGAAGTTATTTTGATTTCTTTATGCTTAGCCTTTAGCACTAATTCGCCAGCAACAAATGCGAGCTGTTGCTGGGGCTCGTCATTTGGTTTGAGAGGAAGTAATTTATGCAAGTGAATGAATGCATTATCATATATGTTTTGTCTCAGGTTGTCTGGGACATGGACGCCCAATGCGTCTGAAACGCTACATAATGAATTTGGTGTTGTTGCACTTGAATTAGATAATGTATTAGTGCTGCCTGAAGTACCTGTAGAAAGCATTGTTGGCGATGCCTCAAACTCTAAGGGGTCAGGGATGTCTATTCCTGAGGAAGTTGTAGGCTGGTTTGATAAGGCTGGAGGTATGGCGTCAGGAGTGACCTGGTTCGGTTGAGTCACGGTGCTTGTAGCAGTGGTGACCTGGTTCGGTTGAGTCACGGTGCTTGGAGGCCTGGATGCTTTGGCCTTTTTGGTGGCAGCTGGAGCTCGGCCGGGCCTGGCATATGGAGACTTTGTAGTCCTTTTTGCACGGAGCATGTTTCTATAAAACAAACAACTGTGTAACTTGTGTTTAACATATACATAATTTATTATTATCATTATTAATTGCTTATATATTTATAAATTTTTACTATTAATGTTTTTTTTTTTTTTTTTTGTTTGTTTGAATCTGAGATTGTAAGTTATTAACATCGTTTACTAATTATGAATGATCAAATTATATGTAGAGTTAAAGCCCTTTTGTTTAACGTTTGGCATGCCGCCATTAACGGATGGTGATGATGAATATTGATCCAGCAAAATCTGCTGACATCTTAAGTGCTGAGGCAAGGGAAACGCCCAATTCGCTTCCAATGCTTCACTAGATGTTTAATACATACCGATGACCGGTGGAACGATACCTGTACAATATAGTAATCCACGTAATGGGTTGCAACTTGGAGGTGGTTTTTCTGTTGATGCTGTCTGATCAAAATCGTCGAGCGAAGAGGATGTGTGCGCAAGCGCATTTAAGGCTTGGGGCTATTTTGGAAATTTGGTTGAGGACAGGGGAGTTATCGCGCTTAGGCTATTCTTCTTCGATAACTGGCATTTACCGCACATGGCGGTAAATGCAATTATCTTTAAACTGTAAGCTACACAAATAAACAAAGTCATTTAATGATACAACAAAATTGTTGTCGCACGGTCTATCTATAGTAGTTTTCACAGTTTTCCCAGAATGCCCGCCCGTGAAGCCGAGCATGCGTATTCAAGGAATTTGGACTAACGTTCTCGAGCGCTAGCAACAATTTTCTTAAGACAGTGTTCGACTAGGGTATTAGGACTAATCTTGATATAAATTCAGAATAAACTTTATACACTCGCACAACAATTGTTTTCAAGATAAACCTACAAAACAACATGATCGGAAGAAAAGAAACGATCGAATGATAGAATGAAAACACCAATTTCTTGTTTCACTCTTTAATAAATTTTAAAACAATTGAAAACCAGAGAATGAACACCAGTCAGCATAGCCAGCACGTGCCTCGCGTCCTTTGGGTCGTATCCAAACTTTGTCACCCTTTTTCATCTTTATGATTGCGGTGGCGGATCCCGATGACATTGTGCGACTTCCAGCATTCCCATCAGCGATGTTGTAGGCAATGAGGTTATTGTTGTGGACGATCACTGTGTTGAACCAGCTCCCGGCTGCAGTCACACCGGTCCATGTAAACGAGTATATGCCGTCCCGAGGTGCTGTAAATTTCCCCGTCGTCCCATCATATGCTGATCCAACATTAAGCGTTACTCTTCCAAACACAACCACGGCATTTGATGCCAGGTTATGAAGACCCTTTGAAGTGCGCGCATGGAAAGCAATTATACCTGTATGTTGAAATGACTATTAATAGTATAGACCTCTATCTATGTATTTACAAAATGTATTTAATTCGAAACAACGAGTACTTTTTTCACTTGCTTGACAAGTTCCGTCCTTAAATCCCATTCCTCTGCATACTTCATTATACGTATTGAACTTCTTGATGAAGTCTTTTGTAATGCCATCAGCATTCACGTTTGTTAACAGGAAGGTTGTAACAACCAATTTCAAATTCTGGAACCTTTTATTTAAAAAATGTGATTTTTCAAATTCTTCATTTACTAAAAAGATAATGAACAGTGATTACTTTCCTATAATCTATAAACAATACAAATCTATGAAGAGAGCATAAAACACAACACGGACCCCCTGAGATAACAAGAGCTGAGATCAGGTGCCCAGGAGGAGTAAGCATCCCCTGTTGACCGGTTGTATCCGCTATGAGCCCAAGGAAGGAGGAACATTCCGTAGTCAAATTCAGTATAAAAATAAAATGCCTTACATGCAACTGGTAGAAATAATTTATGCAGGGAAAAAATTGCATTCTCTATATTTCTATTTAAAGATAAACCGAAATTTTGATTTAATCTTAGTAAATTGCTAACAGCTACACTCATCTGCCTTCTGAATATATTATAAATATCAATAATTAATTGAATTATGCATGTATAAAGAACAGTAATTACGATCAAAATGTAATGGAAAAATAGATATCGGGACCCGAGCAAACACTGATCTCTAAGAACATCATAGGTGGGATAGGATGCCATGGAATAGCAAGCATCCCTTTTTGACCGGTTATATCCGCCATGTACTCCATGTCATAAAACAACCAGGGAAAATGTGAAATATGATACATGAATGCATCTTTCTTTAGAATGGAAATTATGAAATAATCTTTGAAAAGAACTTAAGAGTTGTAAGGACAATACTTACATATGCATTGCCTGTGTATAGATATCGCGTGGAGATGAACTTCAGTGTTTGATTTTTTATATAGTATTTATAAGTATTTATAAAAATAAAACACGTTTACAGTCATTAAAATGAAACATAAGTACAAATATAGATCCGGATTATTCTGAAATATGACCTTAAAATTTTAACTAGATTTGTCAGTATGGCACGAATACCCCACAACTATTAATGTTTTAAACATTTATAAAATCAAGGATATATTAAAATAATACACGAACTAGTAATGCTTAAAATTATCACATTGCTTCTCTTTTGTAAATCAACTTATACATACTATACACAAAAGCATGCTCAGAGTATGATTTAATACCTAGACATGCTACTGAAAGATAAGTCGATGTTACAAGGATTTCAACAACTTAATTTGTGTAAAGGCAGCATTTTGTAAATTTTATTGTCGTTATAATGACCTTGGGTCGTATTTGACTGACTTTTACATACAAATTCTTAGACCCATTGTTTTTATACTGGATTCGAATTATGACCTTACTACAATGAACAGTCATGTTATTTGAACATGACACGTAAATTTTATTTTGGAAACAACTTTTATCAAAGTTTGATTTCGTCAACTTGGTACAGCAGCGACGGTTTAACGAAAATCTAATTCAAACCAAGCACATATTTTATCATTTCAAATTGCATCATTGACATATGCCTGAGATCTCCTAATCCAAGCAGGGGTAATGCAAGGATAAATCACATTTTTAAAAAGAATTATGAATTTACTAACGAAAAATATTCTCTGATTATCTTCCTTCATCAGAATGGACTTCAGAATAAAAAAGACGAAGCACTATTATAGTTGTGAAAGCTTAAGTCATATTTTTAAACACCGGTATTAATAATAATAAAAAAAAAACGATTAAATTAATCCGCATATTCATTTATTTTTCCAATGCCCTAACCAGAGATGCTGTACATATAGAGAAATCCACTTCAAGGAAGCTGGGAAGCTTTTGTAGAAAACGTCACACATTTTTTTTTTACCCTTTTTTGCTCCAGCGTGAAAATTAAATTTTCGAAACCTAGCTTCTGAATGTACCTCATCAGGACGCTCCCATATTTCCATTTCAAAATATGAATGAGCCACAGCAAAATTGTAAGAGAAGTTCACTCAAGGAAATTTTTGTATTACTCCAGATTTGCCTCCAGGGTGAAAATGGAAATATTTTTGCACATATTTAAGGCATTTCCATGTAATCATTTTCAAAAATATGAGTACGTTGGCTAATTATAAGTACTGATCAAAATACTTTGAGGAAGAAGATACCGTGGGGGTATATGTTAGCTATCCCGGTATATTACGACAATAATTGTTTTAATACAAACCTACAAAACAACACGAACAGAGGGAAAAAACGATATATAATGGAAGGGAAAACACTTTATTGTTTTACTCTTTACATGCTTTAATAGACTTTTAAAACAGTTGAAAACCAGAAAATGAACACCAGTCACCATAGCCAAATCGTGCCTGGCCCCCTTTAGGTCGTATCCAAACTTTGTCACCCTTTTTCATCTTTATGATTGCAGTGGCGGATCCTGCGGACATGGTGCGACTGCCAGCATTTCCATCAGCGATATTGTAGGCAATGAGGTTATTGTTGTGGACGATCACTGTGTTGAACCAGCTTCCAGCTGAAGTCACACCGGTCCACGTAAATGAGTAGATGCCGTCCCGAGGCGCTGTAAATTTTCCCGTCGTCCCATCATATGCTGATCCAACATTCAGCGTTACTTTTCCAAACACAACCACGGCATTTGATGCCAGGTTCGTAAGAGTCTTTGACGTGCGTGCATGGAATGCAATTATACCTGCATGTTAAAATGACTAATCATAGTATAGACCTATCTATGTCTGTATGCCGAATATATTCAATAGTTAAGAATTATATGTTTATGGATCTTTTCTCATTATATCTACATCTACGTTTGTGAGATTTTTTAACCTTTAGTCTTTTAACACGAATTGTATTGCACACGTACATGTAAAAGAACACAATGAGTAAGCATATAAATGTATTTCAATTATTGTTCAATTATTTACAAAATGTATTTAATTCGAAGCAACGACTACCTTTTTCACTTGCTTGACAAGTTCCGTCCTTAAATCCCATTCCTCTGCATACTTCATTATACGTATTGAACTTCTTGATGAAGTCTTTTGTAATGCCATCAGCATTCACGTTTGTTAACAGGAAGGTTGTAACAACCAATTTCAAATTCTGGAACCTTTTATATAAAAAATGTGATTTTTCAAATTCTTCATTTACTAAAAAGATAATGAACAGTGATTACTTTCCTATAATCTATAAACAATACAAATCTATGAAGAGAGCATAAAACACAACACGGACCCCCTGAGATAACAAGAGCTGAGATCAGGTGCCCAGGAGGAGTAAGCATCCCCTGTTGACCGGTTGTATCCGCTATGAGCCCAAGGAAGGAGGAACATTCCGTAGTCAAATTCAGTATAAAAATAAAATGCCTTACAATAGGTACAAACAATCTATGCAGGGGAAAAAATTGCATTCTCTATATTTCTATTTAAAGATAAACCGAAATTTTGATTTAATCTTAGTAAATTGCTAACAGCTACATTCATCTGCCTTCTGAATATATTATAAATATCAATAATTAATTGAATTATGCATGTATAAAGAACAGTAATTACGATCAAAATGTAATGGAAAAAAGATATGGGACCCGAGCAAACACTGATCTCTAAGAACATCATAGGTGGGATAGGATGCCACGGAGTAGCAAACATCCCTTTTTGACCGGTTATATCCGCGATGTACTCCATGTCATAAAAACAGGGAAAATGTGAAATATGATACATGAATGCATCTTTCTAAAGAATGGCAAATATAAAATAATCTTTGAAAAGAACGTAAGAGTTGTAAGGACAATACTTACAAATGCATTGCCTGTGTATGGATATCGCGTGGAGATGAACTTCAGTGTTTGATTTTTGATATAATAGTATTTATAAGTATTTATAGCAATAAAACACGATTACAGTCATTAAAATGAAATATAAGTACAAATATAGATCCTGATTATTCCGAAACATGACCTTAAAATTTATACTAGGTTTGTCAGTATGGCACGAATACCCCACAACTATTAATGTTTTAAACATTTATAAAAATCAAGGATATTAAAATAATACATGAACAAGTAATGCTTAAAATTATCACATTGCTTCTCTTCTGTAAACCAACTGTTACAAAGTTTCAAGACTCTGATAAAAGTGGATTTATCACTTGCAAATATTGTTAATATCTCACAACTTATACATACGATACACAAAAGCAGGCTCAGAGTATGATTTAATACGTATAGACATGCTACTGAAAGATAAGTCGATGTTGTAAGGATTTCAACAACTTAATATCAATTCTCTGTAATTATCAAACAATATCAATAATGCTTGGCCACGCTACATTTTCAATTTCTATGAAACTTTTTGTGTGTACTCACATTGTCACATCATTCATGGTTTTATATTTTTTTATTTCAAAAAATGTCTCGTTGCCATGGTTACGGCACCTATTGTTTCCCCTGTAAATTCTTCCTAAAATTTGACCAAAAAACGTGATTTTGTAGGTTTTACTGAATAAAAATGAGCTTTAAAGAAACAAGAGAATGGGAAAATCTACTTTTGTTTCAAAACTACCATTATTCCTCTCTAATATAACAACATAATTTTTTAAAAACTGTAATTCTACATAATGGCTTAACAACGCTTAGCTTTGGGGATTTTGGCATTTTGCCAAATTGAGAAAATTACCATTTTAGACCCTTTTTTAAAGCGATTTTTTAATACTTTGCACACTGATTTGAAATTCAGGAAACAGTGCATTGTATAGATGGTACATAAGTTAGTTTAAACACATTAAAATATTTATGGGACACTTAAACATTTTTTTTTAAAAAGCTGATGAAAAATTACCCCAAATCTGCAAAATTTCCGTATTTCAAGGAACATATGCACATTTCATTAAGTTCATATAGAAAAGAAATGTTCCTTTCTACCTGTTTTGATGTCATTTACAGTAAAATTAGTCCATATCTAGGAAAAGTGTCATGTAAAAATATTCACATCCCATTTCCAAGAGCATTAATACATGTAAATATGTTCATAGATAGGAGAACTGTGAACACCTGCACAAAATGCCCTCCCCCCCTTTCCGTAAAATTGACAATTTTGAAGTACATGTAGACTAACAAGGGCATGTTTCAAGTTTCCTGAAACTATCCCCTTAGATTGAAACTAATATGAAATAATTTAATTCTGATTGTAACGCTGTATTTGATTGGATAAAAAATTTACTTCATATTGTATAAAATGGGTTGCCTACGTCACAATGACTTACGTCAAAAACGTATCAATCCGCTTGACGTTACATTCAAATTTTGTACAAATTGAAGTCATTTTATTAGAACAATCACCTTTTTTTCTTGCATCAAATGAATGAAAATTAAATTATAAGCAATGAATTTGATAGCTACCCATTTTATACGGTATAAACTTGGTTGGAACAGTTTACGCTTTTTTATAAACCGCTTCGCGGTTTATAAAGCGTAAACTGCCCCAACCCAGTTTATACCGTATAAAATGGGTAGCTATTAAATTCATTCCTTAAATAAAATTTTCCCTATCCATTCTCTATTACTATGGAAACAGGAATGCAAGATTTGTTACCATGGAGACAGGAATACCAGATTTTTAACCAAAATGGCTGCATTTAACGTAACAATATTCCCAAAACTACACTTATTTACTCTTTTATAAAACCTGTGTAATGAGTTAAATGTGAATGTGAACTAAATTTTTTGGCATCTTAAATTTGCATCTTTATGATGCTGCAAAAATATAATGCATGTTGTAATGCTATGTCAAATAATTGCAAAACCTTGTGGCTTTTACTTTTTCAAGATTTGGTCAAACTTGAAAAATTCTGAAATGAAACTAAAACAAGCAGGACATTCATAATATTTTACTCATTTCAACTTGTTACTTTGTATAATTATTTATTAAATTCATGGGCAACTGCAAACCACAGATACTTTGAATGAAGTCCAAAATTTACCCCCCCCCCCTTCTGATTTTTTCTTTTAAAACTTCTTAAACACGGCTTTAAACTTGAGAAAAAATACATTGGTTTAAAAAAAATCACATCCTCTTGGGTAAGTTATCTTGGATTTAAACATAAATATCCAACGATGGAAAACTTTAAACATAGTGTTTGGCATATAATTAATAATTAGGTTTGCAATGGATCTTTTGCATTCTGTAAAGTCAGGTTGAAAGAATGCCCCCCCCCCCCCCCATGAGACACTGTCCCCCACAAGTATCATTTTAAGGAAGTTCTTCCTTTCATTTTACTAGGTTCCTGCCAACATCTCATCACACCAACTATATCAATCTCCTTTTCTTTTTTTGCACATGTAAATATAAATTCTGAAAACAAGAGAACTTTTCTTTTGCTTTTTTTATTTTTTATATATGCAACATTCAGAGTACATGTATTCTCAACTACGGTACATATCATTAGATTTACCTGACAGATTCTACAGTTTCTGCTGCTCTGAAAATCTTGTCTCTGATTTTTCAATTTTAGAGTTTTTGTTGGTCATGCATGTACCAGTAATGACCTACATTGACATACGCAAGTAACACTGATAATTAGTTAATGAGAATTATGCTGAGTTGAGTTTTTTTGGCAAGGTACAGGATAAAGCTTGATAAGTTCTAAAACATATTGTTATACAGCATCAGATTTGAGGATGTCATCACATAATATGATAAACATGTTCCTATTGTATTTGAACTTTGACATCTCAAACACTGATATCTTGAAGACAGTGGGTACAAGTATGTTGAAGTAGGTTGGAATTCAGCTTTCACTTGCCTGGTTTCAAACCTAAGATATGGCATCCCTTCTCAACCTACAATGGTAAATAATTCCTGCACTTTCCAATATACACTGATTTCAAGCTAATTAAATGTGTATGTAATCCTTTAGAAAGTTGTTTTCTTTATTCTAGTATAATAATTCTTCTGTTACTGGACAGGTATTAAATTTTGTTTAAAAAAAAAGAAATAAGCAAGGTTTAAATTTAGATATAAAACTGAAATATTTTTTTAACAATTTAAGGACAGATGATACAAACAAACTTTTGTCAAAGAATTTGAAAATAACAACTGGGGTCATGTTTAAATCAGTAAAATTAATAACTTTCTTCAAGAACTTTTTAATTTTTAATTCATATTTGCATAAAAATGGAATTTGAAGTGAAAAATATTTGTATAGATTAATAAGGATAGTTTCAAGAGGGTAGACTTTTGAACATCACAGAAGGTTTACAATTTCTTAATATTCTAGAAATTTATTAATAGCATCATTAATTTGCAATTAAATTATGCCAAAAAATATATACCAATCCAGGCATCCATTTTTTGTTTGTATCATCTGTCCTTAATTTACTTTCATATTTTAAGAATGGTTACCTTGAAAAGAACAAAATCTAGGCTGTCCACTTTCTTGCAGAATGCACTTGAACTTCAGTCATGGCCTATTTGGTCCTGTTTTGGTTTACTGGTCTTACTTTTTCTTTATTCATCTTATATGGTAAATCCTTTGATGAAAAAATGATGAAAATAATTATTTTCTTAGGAACATGATCAAAAGGAAAATTCATTTCATTCATACACAGACATGTTCATGTGTGTGATCATCTTACCAGTAGTGAATATTTGCCTGGGTATCAAATAATTTGTTTAGAATATTATAAAACATGGTCAGTGTGTATAAAAAAAAATATCATTATAAATCAGAGGTGAATATTCTACATGTACATTTATATAGTTTTATTATACCCTCCGCTTGAAAAGTGGTAGGGTATACTGTAATCGATATGTCCGTCTAGCTGTACGTCCATCTGTCTGTACGTCCGTCTGTCTGTTACGCTTTAGGGAAACCATCTCTTATTATCCGCAACTCCTCTTATACCACTGCAATGAGTGAAATTTAATGAACCTTTCACAGAATCATTATTACATATTGCCATTGTGCACCTCCTATTTTACTTTTTGATCCGACACATATTTTGGGTTTCCCGGCCACAGTAAAACATGGATTTGTCATCAGTTATAACCATCTGGGAGGCAGGGGGTATCATTTAGTGAGCTCATTGCTCACAGTACCTCTAGTTAAATTTTGTTTTAACACTAATACATATGTACAAGTGTACATATATATTTTTTACTGTTTGCTATTTGAAAAGATTATTATTATTCACACAAAATTGAACTATAGATTATACAGTACTGGTACTTCAAAAACGAATGAAAGAGTCTATATAAACAAAAATAACTCAATATTTCCAGTGCATTCTTAATCTAGATCTATTTTGTCAATACATATAGTACAGTTTTGGATATATATAATAAATTTAAAGTTTAAAAGATAGAAGCTATTAAATAAAACAATGATATCAAAACAAACATGCTGTTTTCTTATTTTCTGCTAATGAACATCACATGACCATATTTTGCTGATATATAGAATACTATTTTAAAAACTTAGCTACTTTATGCTCACACATTATAAACGTTTGAGGCACTTTTTTTTTATAGAAACAAACTTGCTGTAGTTAAATATTTTAACAACACAATTCTGTAAAATATGTGCCTAATATGCCAATAAAGAATTGAAATAATAGAATAAACAATGAATGAAAACTGACAGAAGTGGAAATTTATATCATAAAGATAAATAATGTTCACTTAAAAGTCTCTCTCAGCTCATCATAAAAAGTAAACCTACTGAATGGCACATATTTCATACAATCTCTATATAGACATTTATATTTCGGGGGGTGGGGGGGGGGTCAGCTGTATCAGCAAGTGATGTTTATATGCTTCAAATTCATTTTTATTAATAAAAATAATTAATTCATTGGTCAAAAAGTCAAACTGTCAAGAGGTATAGTTCGCTTGATTTGACAAGGACCACTGACCACTACTGGTAAAACAACTGTGTTTCAGTGTATTGTAAGGCAAATAAAATTAAGAAAATATGCATTTGTTAATCTTGATATTTTTGTAATGCTCAGTATATACATTAATTCACCTTCTGTCTTCATTGTTTAAGATGTCTAGCCTTCTTTTCTTCTTCCATATTGTAAAACTTTGATGAGATCTTTCGCCAGAAAGTGTTCATTGCTGTTTACTAAATACACATTGTACCTCCAAACGCTAGAGAGTAGTTCAAGGGAAGTAATTAGGAAGCAAAAAATGCTTCAAAATGTAGAAAAAAGTAATCTTTACCTTTGAATTCCTTTTACATCTTTGAGTCTCCCATCAATATTTTACATATTTTGATATAATCAAATATCAGTCTTTCATAATTAATTATTACTAAATTTGTAATCAGTGTGCCTTTTTTGTTTTAAGCCTCCAAAAACTCCACTAAACCAATCACATATCTGATATGTTATAATATGTAAAATAGCCATTTACTATTGAGAGATTAAATTAAAACTACAGATATAATTACTTTAATCTGTAGGATTAAATTTAAATAATGAAAACATATTAAGTTATCCCTTTTCATTTCTTGACACAGTTTTTCTTGATAAGTACACGTTTTTCAAAATTAACGAAATTGAGAATTTTGCACCCCGTTTCTATGGCAACCAAAGGTCTATTTCATAAAACCACTTTAGATTTTACAATTAATGACATAGCTGTTTAAAATTATTATAAAAAAAAAATCAAGATGTTTTTCTATGCGTGGCCAACCAATTTTGATAATTACAGAGAATTGATATTAATTTGTGTAAAGGCAGCATTTCGTAAATTTCATGGTCGTTATAATGACCTATCATTGGGTCGTATTTGGCTGACTTTTACAAACAATAGTCAGGCCCATGATTTTTATACCGGATTCGTCTATAGGATCAACATCATGGGTATAATCGGTCAGGCATCTGATTCCACCTCTGGAATTTCCAGGATCTGTGTTTATGGTCGCCTAACAGTCCGTTTTGTAATATTTATAGAATTTATGATTGATCACGTTTAGTATCTTCACCCTTTTTATAATATTCTCCAAGAAAATGATATTTGCAGTGTACCAAATCTTATAGTACTGAGTACAATACAACATCAAATTCAAGAAGTGCGTTAATCAATCAATGGCATCAATATGTACGATTTTCCTAGAAATTACACAACCATTTCCTAATAATAAATTAAAGACCAGACACTCTGTTGTCTTCAATAAAAATGAAAACTTACGTTTGCATACCTTCCCAGTGGCCATCTGTAAACTTAAATTTTGCTAAAATACCTTGATACTACTAAAAAGTACTGTCTAGTTGACATTAAGGTAAGATTCTTCTCACATTTCTTGTTTTCAAAAATTAATGAAATTTTCACAAAATCAAGAGGACAATATCACTAAGTGATGGTATCAGTGAGATTAAATTTGACAGTTTAATATTAGAGGCAAGGTCAGGTCAAGGTCATTACCTTTTCCCTGGACATTAAGAATAAAAAAAACATTGTTTCCAATCATGCGATCCCTGCTTGTAATTCAAAAGATTGAATGTTTTTCTTTTTGCATAAAAAGATACTATCATATAGGGCCTATAAGATGATATTACCAAATTGACATGGATAATTTAAATAAAATGGATATCTGCTAATCCGAATTTCCTCTACATTTCTTAAATTTTAAGGATTTATTAGTTATTTTTATATGCTTCCTATATTTAACTTTTTCTAATTTTCACATATAGTTAAGTTATCACATAAAGGTACAAAATAATACAAAAACTATAAGTTTTGATCGTTTACTAAGAGAGAAATAACACTTTTTACGGATTTTTGGCTCTAATCTGTACTTAGATTTGAAGTATTTCAAAGCCAACATTGTACTAGTTTGTATGAAAAATCTTATTTATTTGATATATTTTGAAACTTTAGTTCCTTATTATTAATCTAACTTACATTTAAAAATTTCGTGTAGTCTTTGATTGCGTAAAAATAATAACTAAATTCAATGTTCTGTAATATACTAGTCAAAATTTCTAAGTCCCCAGGCAAGTTTTTGCTTTACACTGCTCTTATATTGAATTATTTTAACAGTATAATTTAATAAGTATACAGGATAAAAAAGTAGCAAAACAATTTTTCTCACTCAATTTATTTTATTGAAGCACTTGAACACAATATGCAGAAACGTTAAGGCACCCTAGAATTAAAAATTCACAACGTTAAATACTGCATAATGCTCCATTCAAACGAATTCACAGCAAGACAACCGTTCCTCAAAGAGTTCACGCTATTTAAGAAAAAATCTTTTATTGAATGTTTTTCTATATGGAGACTAGGTCGTCCTCTAGTTCCGTTAAATTCTGCTGCTGGAAAAGATGTCTTAAATCCGGTCTATCTTTTTCTATACATGTAAGTTTGGGTTGAGATTAGGATGATAAGGGGGGTTACTGAAATTTTCTGTGCCTTGCTGACAATAGTTACATAATGTCTCATTACATGTATTCCCCATTCCTCCAGTTTGACATTGAGGGGAGGCCACTTCCGGTTCCGGTTCCATTGATATTTCCGGATAAACTCTAGGATGATTTTGTTGTGTTTGTTGAAAATCTAGCGATTTCTAATGATTAAAAGGAATTCAGATATGCTTTGTAGGTTTTTCAGGCAGTAATTATAAAGGTTTTAAGTAAAATAAAGTCATACAGTGAAAGGAAACAGAATTCTCGTTAACTACGACCAGCTTGGGCCATTTCATCTTCACTTTCACATTGTTGTGTGGACATACACCACATTTTAATCAAACTTTTTCTCTTTTTCGTTATCAATTTAAGATGGAGAACACATGGAAGTAAAGAATATAAAAAATACACCCGAAAAACATATGAAACTCGAACTTCATGCTTTTTAACAAAAACGGTCACGGTCGAGTAATTACACATTTTTTGGCCTTGACAGGTAAATATTACAAATTAAAGGCAAAATTGTAAGCAACTAGTACATTGAAGTCAAGGTTTTGAAATTTTTGCAAAAATAAAAGTGGGGACTTAGAAATTTTGACAAGTATAGTTTTGAGAGGCAGAAAAGAAGATATTTTCATACGCCACCATTCCGCCAAAAATATAGTCCCTGCTAGTTTTCAAACGCAGTTTACCATTTCTATTTAAAGTTGTATAATTGACGTATCAACAAATGCACTTTGAATATTCTATCTAGTTAGAAACCAGAGAAGAATCCTACCTTAAATGCATGAGTTTTTCATTTACAATAGCAGGTTGTTCTCGAAAACAGGTCATCCGACAATCTTTTGGAATGTCGGGTTAAGTAATATACTTATATTTATCTTATATTTTAATATACATGATAATTAAATGAATGCAAATACAAGGCATGTTAATAAAGGGACATACAAATTATGTATTATCAATCGCTTCTTTTCCTCCGTCCATGCAGTTGTTTTTGTTGTTGTTTATAGATTTTATGAGATTAACCACTGACCATTATCTTCACCCTTTTCATTCTTTATCAACTTCTCAGTAAATGAAGAATTAAAATTATATTTTTTTTTCAAATAAAATGGTCCCAGAATTTGAAAGTGGTTGTTACAACTTTCCTGTTGACAAACTTGAATTCTGGTGGCATTACAAAAGACTTCATCAAGGAGTTCAGTATGTTTAACAAATTATGTAGAGGAATGGGTTTTAAGAACTTAACCATGGACACTTATTGAGAAAGTGAAGAAAGGTTGTTGTTTCGAATTGGATACATATTGTAGAGTGAACAATTATTAAATGGAATTATTACATGTTATTCAAAATTAAATTATGCAATATATTCAAAATATTGTACATGTACACTGTAAAAATGATGTTTAACTTGTGTTTTATTTTTAAACAGTAGTGTTTTACAGTTAAACATAGAGGGTTTAAATACAAAACATTAGCGTTTTATATATAAACACTGATATTTAAACTGGTGTTCAATAAGTAGGGTGTTTAATCATCCGTCTTAAACACGTAATGTTCATATGCATCAAATCAAAAAATAAATTAGGCGTTGCTTCTCGGTATTTGCTGTAGATATTCACCATTTTTACAATGTCTTAATTTATGAAGTAATTCCGCACATAATGGTAGACATTGCTCGACACAGAAAAAAATACGAATCGCAAGGCAATATGTTGACTATAGATCATACCAAAAGCAAACACAATTAGCATTAATTAATAGTAATTTTGTGCCAAAATTTCAAAATTTTCATAAACTGTTAAAGGGGAAATAAAAACCAATATTATGATAATTTCTATAATTTATCAATATTTTAATCACCGGTGTTTAACACGAGTGTTCATTTCTTAACCATTTATATTTATAAATTAAACACGTGGTATTTATATAGAAATTGCAAATTAAACACCAATGTTTAATTTGTTATGATAGAAAATGACGCAGATGATTATGTCATAACATGCCATTTGAACGCAGAAGATGCAGAATCACGCATATACTGACAAGAAGCACCATATCTAGCAAGGAAATAGGAGGTATTTATACATTTCTTTATGTAAAATCTTATAAAAAAGAATGATGAATACATCAGAGATCTTAAAAATGTTTTTCATTCATGAAATGCAGGATCGTTTCCTATACTTACTAATCGTCTGAGTGCAATGCGGCCATGCGCAGACATAGACATAAAATATTGTAGTCTTTATATCTAATTAATTTGCAGGGACGTTCATCTGTTATTAACATTACTTGATAAAGAAAAGGGATTTTAAATGAAGATCATACTTGACCTTGAGAGGTGAGTTTTAAAAGGAAAAGCCCCCCCCCCCACACCCACACACACATCATTGATTCCTGATGAATAAATGTAATCCAATTAAATACCTGCCCTTGCTAACATTTATGCTCCCTAACATGCGACATTACTACAATCGCACATGTACATGTACCTACAATAATTTTCATCTCCAGCACGTACATGTACATGTTTTATGGAGACTTTACTTTTTTGAGGGAGTGCTTATTTACATGATAGAAAATGTCTTGAGACAAGGTAAACCCCCCCCCCCCCCACCTCTCTTAATTGTTGCTGTTTGGCTGCTCCTGCATGCAGGTACATGAACATTTAAATTTTTTAGTGTACACACTGTGCGCTTATATAATTTATTTGAATTGCAGAGTTTTATTCCTTATAACTTGTCTCAGTATGTATTATATAATTAGAATTGGCGTGAAGAATAACAAATCATTTTTTCCGATCTCAATGTATTCTTTTACATATAAATATCTGAATTTGCATAGTGAATATTTTTTCATCTATCTATTTTTCAGGATATTTCTGATGAGAAGAAGGAACTAGAACTATACTTAGTGTGAATACAATTTTGGAGAATGGAAAACTGGAGATCATCATCCGTTGTAGAAGAATCTGAATTTTACCCACAACCAGAGGAGCTAGACTGTTTAACTTGGTTAGAATATTGTATGGAAATGAGTGAGTGATACCCCGGCAGCTCTTGTTTAGTATCAAGAATATTTAAATGAATTAGTCCTTTACATGTCAAAACTGAAAAATTTCTTCATTTGTTTAAAACTCTGAATATTTATGAAAGTAAAATTGTAACATTTACAACTAGATTTATCTATATAATACACAATCCTGTACCCAGAAACCAAAAAAACATTTTCGGTCTTTTTGCATCATATTTATTCAGGAATTTCGTTGTTTTATTTTTTTTTTTAATGTAAAGGACGACCAAGCCCCTTTTAAAATAATGTTTCAAAATTTTACTAATGAAAAATATTTCATTTCATCAAGCGATCATGTATTTTTATATACAAAGACACCCCCTTCCCGACACCAATTTATTGGATTTTAGTTTACATGGTTTACACATGCAGCTTTTACATGTTCATGCTAGTTTGTTTTGATAATTCTATTTTTCAACTTAAATTGAATAATGTATCCATGTTTGATAAATGTGTTGTTTAATGTTATAATTGTTTATTAAGTTTGAACCCCAAATCAACATTAAACTATTTGTCAAATAAAAAAAAAACTGTATATACGTTGCACGTTTCCCCTCTGTTCTTATCCAGACTTTATCACCCTTCTTCATTTTAATAATTGCTGTGGAGGATCCCGAATAATAGATTTTACTTCCGGTTTTTCCGTTGACGTAGTTGTATCCAAAGCTATTATCATTTAGGACGATTTTTGTTATAAATTCATTTCCAGAGGATGCCAGAATGGTCCATTTACTTTGGGTTCTGTAAATTTTCCTGTGGTTGCATCATATGCAGATCCAGAATTTTCCACAACGTTGCCAAATATTACGACAGCATTATTTCCAGGGTTCGTCAGATCACGTGATATAAGTGCATAGAATGAAATTAAATTTGCTGGACAAAATATTCAATGCTTATCATATGCTTGTAGGATAGCTTGTAAGTTCATTTAGATTTTTAATTACTAGTATATCAAATAATCTACATGTATTTTTTAAACAGAACGAAAATAAAATCTAGCATTTCCCCCAAATTTTATTCACGTTCAGATCACGTTTTTAGAGTTACTGAAAATCTTAAGCGTCAAAAGATTCTAAGAATTAAATGTTTATCAAAATCTATATATTGTCTTTTGAACCCAGTGTATAATTTAAATGTTACCTTGTCTACTTTCAGTGCAGTAACCTCCCTTGAAGCCCATTCCTCTACACACTTCATTGTACGTATTATATTTCATAAGGAAATCTTTTGTAGTTGTTTCTGCAGTTGCTTCCGTTAATACTAATGTTGCAACAAACCGCATTCAAAAGCTGGAATCTGTTTGTTAAATTAGGAAAATTCATTATTAGAAGTTATTTTATATAGCAATATGAGGTAGACTTACTTGAACATTGTTTTTTCTTTAAAGACAGTACGACAGTACGATACAACTGATTTCATCAAATATCAAATTCACTTTTTATATGGTGGCAGGAATGTTTAAAGTCATTATATTGTACTATTAGTCTAATTATGCATTGATTGAGACAGCCTACTAGGTATTATGTTTTTAAAATCTGAAATGTTAGAAATCATATAAGTATGAATTGGTATTTAAAGGAAATTAAGCTACAACGAAACAAAGAAAATTTTGAAATTACAAAACTTTACCATTTAGCATTTAGAATTTAAAAAGTACGTATTATTCAATACTTTGTATAACAATTCCACACGATAAATTAAAGACCAGACATTTTTGAATCATGGACAACTGTTTCAGAACAAAAATAAAAATCATAAATTGCCATACCTTGTTACTGATCATCTGGAAACTTTCTTTGCCAAAATAAAGCATTCTGATTCTACCCCAACTACTCCGATTGATATTAAAAGACGTTTCTATGTTGTCTTCGGACACCAGACCTCACACAATCGTTAGGAGTTCTCATGGGTTTATAAATATGCCCCGTTAAAGGCAGAATTATTTTGCATTCATTTAAAGTAGATTTTCTTTTAATTTACAACAATCATTTTTATCCTTTCGTCAATGCGATATATGAAATATATGGAGATAAGGAAAAGTATTCAAACTCAAAGGTCCATTAACAATATAAATCAGTAGCAGAGCAAAGACGGACCTCTAAAACATCAAAGATGTGGTCAGGTGCCATGGAGGAGTGACCATCCCCTACAAACGGTCACCTCCGCCATGTGTTCCTTGTTTTTATCGGGAAATAACGAAGAAAAAGCGTCTACAAATCAGTGTGTTACATGTATCAGAGGTCTATATTGAATCGACTCTTATAAACTGTATTGTTTTAAAGGGATTTTGAGAATGATCACTAATGGTTGTCATAATAATCGTTCTTGGTAATAATTCGAAGCAAAGTGTCTTATTTCCCCCAATTCACTTCTAAGACCTACAAAAAGTTTTCTGATCTGGCAAATAATAAACAGTCTTAATACTTAAACAGAGCAAACAACTAAACTAATCACTACCAAAAATTACCCTACCATTGCAAATTGCATCATTGACATGTGTTTTTTTCTTTTTTTTTTTTTTTTTTTTAGCAAAGTTGTGTACTGCAAAGGTGTAAATTTTTCAGGTCCAAATTTTGCGATTTTCATGCCACAGAGCGTTCGCATGAATATGAATTTTTTGCAGAAATTAAAGAATTAACATTGTTCTCTTAGTAGGATACCTTACTTGAAACTGTTCACGTAGGGATAAAGTTTGCTAGAATTAATTTGCATTAATTACTCCCATGACTCTAGCCTGGTCCCCTGTCTCATCCTTGCCAAGTGACACGGGGTATACGAAGCATAATAGGGACAGGGAATCAGGCTATAGGATGACTCCCACGCAAAGAGTTCAATTTTTACCTCAGAATAACAATTCTGAAATCCAAAAATGTTTTCCTGATCAAAAAAGATGTTAGCAACAATATATTTTTAATATTATGGTATTAACTAATAAATGTTAAAAGCAGGAAATACAACAAATCAGGATATTAATTTATTCTTTCGAATGCCCTAACCAAAGATGCTACAGAGAAATCCGCTACACGGAGGCTGGGTGGCTGAGACATCCACGTGATAACAGGCCACCTCCTCCCCTGTCTGTGTGTCTGTTATCTTAGCGTCCACTCTGTAGTCTCCCTGAAATACAAAGAAATTCAACAGTTCTTCATTTTATTTTTAAAGAAAACAAGAATATTTTGTTTTAACAACCAGTTTTTCAATGAAATTGCGTTGTGTTCAACGACTTCCTGTTAAATAATTTAATAGTGATATGTTTTTATTCTTTACATGATTATGAGCCCTCCTAATCAACTGTTTTCATTGAACAACTTTAAGTTATCGTCAGTTTGTGAGAGAGGTTGGACTGAACTTTCTTATATCAGAATTTTTCTACTAAATTTTAAACTATTTTCAGTGTACAAAAGTCAATCAAAAAACTAAAAATATGAGGGGATGGAGAGGTATTTCTTGTGAAAAAAGAATATATATTAGAAAGGAAAACCAGTCAAAATCCATATGACATATAATATTATTTGTTTTATTTGGTAAAATATATGGATCTTTGACTTCGCATTTTTTACTCACAAAATTCATTTTTCACACCTTGATATAACAAATATCAGGAGTGACAAATCGGAAATGCTTTGATGAATTGAATTAAAGTACTGTACAGTTTTTTTTTTATCTTTGTGAGAAAATTGAAATAAAATTTTTATTCGGAAAAACATTTAATTGTTTTTAATTAAATAGGTCAAGTTTGTGTAAAAAATGTCTCTAATTAATAGAACTTACAGAAGCTAGCCATGACCACAGTCCACTCATTTCTGGTATTTTAAATGTCGCTGGAGTCATTGTGTAGGTTCCGGGTTGGAATGGACAATGGCAAGGGAGGTTCTGGGCTCTCAGTTGTGGTGGACATTGTGTATTGTTAAATTGTGATAAAAGGGTACAGAGATCATACGAGCTACAAAAGAATAACGTAAAAATTATATTCTTTTAAAACGTTTTTGTATCTCTAATTTTGAACCTTTGGGAGGGAAAGAATTTATTTTTTATAATTACGAATGTCATTGCTAGAGTCTTATCTCAAATTGAGATCAGTTCTTCATAATTAGGCCAAGTAACCCATTCGTCATTGAAAATGATTAGGGCATCGTACTTTTCAAGTCATTTATACATTTCAATGACAATATCCAAATCCCTTTCTACGTACCAGCTGCCAACGCCTGAGATACATGGAACAGTGATCCAGAAAAGGGCGTGTTTCTGTATATGGACATCAAGTTTGTAATGGTTCCCCTGGACCACTCTAGGGGCCTGGATTACGATGTCTCCGGTCAGATCCCCGGGGACCACGACAGGGAAGGGATTCAAATGGGCAGAGGTCACATGAATAATCTTGTTGGGACTTTGGTCTGAAAACATTTATATAGTGAAGAATATCAACGATTTGCAAATAGCAATCCAATGACAAATACCTGTCTTGGAAATAATTCAGAGCTTTTTTTCCAGTAGACCTTCTTTAAAAAAGTCTTAGTCGAAATTAAAAAGATAACTTTGTTTATCAAAAATAATTACACCATTTTAAAATCATTTATCGCGTATTAAAATAAGAATAATATATTATCAATGTAATAAGCAGGACCTAGGTTTCTGATAGATGAATAATTGAGTTTCAGGTTTATTCCGCATATTGTAAATCTTTTTTCATGAGTACTTTGTAATCAAATAGCGAAATGGCATTTGCCGTCTAAACGCGAAAACGATTTTTATTTTGAGGGTGATTGTTTGTTAGAGAGATTTGTACGAATTTCAGCATCATAAAAATAAAAGCGAGTAAATTTGTTAGGCGAATGATATTTCTCGAAAAATTATACACTTATTCAACGCGCATATTTAGGAATCTATTCGAAATTTTCATTGTTTATATGGCACTTTAGATGACATTGTTATCTTATAGTCTTTTAATCTCTAACTAAACAATCTCCATCATATTTGAAATTAACGATGTATATTTACATCAAGATTTTCTTTCGATTGCAGATTTTTAACTTGCATGTTTTTGAACAAGCCAGATTACTTTTTTTTTTAAAGTCAACTATAAATATTAACTTAAGCTGCATCTCTTTTCCCCTTATTTTTAATCTGTTCGTTTCCATTGAATTTCATGTTTTTATGAATTTCATGATTTTAGAAAAATGCATGCACATCAACCAAGGAATTCTTAGAAAACTTCTAAACCCGATAATTCGTAAACGCAGTCTAGATTACTAGTAATTAGTTGTTTACGTCATTTGATAAAATGGACTTGTTTTTGTTTTTATCCCTGTCAGGGAAAGAGCACTAACCTTGTTTTTTTTTTATTTTTGGACAAAATAGAATGATATTAAACACGATCAGAAATAAACATTACTTTGACCAGTACACAAGTTTGTGGAGTACTATTAACCAAGAAATATACACATACTAGATAATAAGAATTTATACATCAACTTACTACAGTCCCTGTAAGAAAAGGGATGAGATGCAAAAGATCCGGACACTAAAGCTAAAAGAACAATTAAAAAGCCTGCCATCTTTCTTGTAGTCTAGTAGTAGATAGTCAGAGTCTAGTTTTGAATCCGAGGACACAGCGTGACAAATAACTGGAGCCCACAATAATGATAAGAAGCACCGTATTTCGACGATATTTCATTCCAGCTTTAATCTGTAGGTATGTTTGTCCCACTTCGACAAACTTAAGATTACACAGAATGAAGGAAGGTCAAAATGGACATGCTAAATCATTTGTGGCACTTTCCCTCATTTATCTTGGTAAGCTTAATAAACAACCGCCCATCTCTAATTTGTTGCTAACAACTTAGTTTTCAATGTATGTTTGACTGTACTGTCGGAATATTGGAAGTGAGCCATGGCAGATAAACCAAAATAACACATTTCAAGAGGAAGAGGTTGGGTTTGGGGGGAATTCAATTGACAGTTAAATTTTATTTTTTAACTAGAATGGCCTATATTTAGAATTCAATAAACTCAGTGAGATTCAAAATTACTATGGAATCATTTAAATTCGTGGGGGCCAATTTTCGTGGATTACTTAAATAAAAATACAGGTTTATGGAGACAATATCGTATATTCTCTTAGGCATACAAAAAGAAATATAAATTTGTAATCACGGTTTATATATCATATTATAGTGGAGGATGTTAATTTCGTGAATGAGGGATACCCACCAAATCTAAGATAATTGAACCACGATGATATCAAATAATTCCACAGTGCATTTATAATCCCAGAATAAAACAAATCGGGAGAAAAATATTCTACGTGACAATTTATGGTGCTAGATCGTCTTCTAAATAGAATGGGGAAAATAATGCAAATTTATTTTAGTGTAGTTCTATAATATCGTAACTTTACTTTAAAATGGTAATATCTGAACATAATGTTGAAGAAAGACATAAAAAGCTTTCAAATAAAAAAAATCTTTTCAGATTATAATTTTTGGCTTTATGCTGCAGTAGCTAGATACTAATGTTTTCCTGTTCCAAAATCGAATAAAAGTAATCATATTCAAATATGATATAAGCTGTAGGTTTTCACATTTTTATTGCATCATGATTTGCATTCATGGGAACATTTTTCTTAAGAGTTTTCCAAATTATATTTTAAATTTTCACATGTTCTGCGATATAAATTCTCTGAATTTTTTTCGGAGAAAATTTTTTTTTTAATTCATATTAAGTTAACAACTTTTTTAGCATTATACAAAATGGTATAGGGCTATTTTTTCAGGTTAAATCGATATATTGTTAATATTTCCCGCATGAATTCAGAAAAATGATATATATTTCAAAATCTTATACTCATATAATTATCTTTTTAAAGAGATTTTTAAAAAATCATATGGTCAACTCAAACAACCCAAAGTAACAATAATTTAAACATAATCAAATACTACTCACATTCGTTATAACAGTAACGATAATTAAAGTCATCGAATTTTCTCTGAAACTGATTAAATAATATTATTTTTAGTATGACATTTATATATTCAAAGTTTAATGACAAGTCGTATATGGATTGAATGATAAATCTTACAAGGACTACCTCTTTACTAGTTTATGAAGCCTTATTTAATTTATGATTATAAATTAATTTATTTTTAATTCTCAGTCAGACCTTGACTCCAAAAATTTTCCAAATATTACCTAAATTAAAAACATCAAAATGTACGTCAATTCAGCACTTTATACGGAATTTCTTAAAAATCGTATGTAACTAGACGTGAAAAGAAGACAAAACTTGCTCTGGCCTTCAACGCGACATTTAGATACATTGACGACCTATTGTCGATTAACAATGATCATTTTCATTCTTATGTCGACACAATATACTCTAATAACATCTGTTTCATATTTGGATATTTCACTTGAAAAAAGATATTATTGGTTAATGGTAATATAACAACCAAGCTCTAAAATAAAAGTGATGACATTAACTTTTCAATCGTCAACTTCCCTTACTTATGCAGCAATATACCCGCATCACCTGCATATGAGGCTTATACTATAGTATCTCTCAATTGAATCAATATGCAAGAACATGCTCTTCGTATGTACAATTTCTAAAACGAGGTAAATTATTGACAAACAAGTTGATGAAACAAGAATATCAGCAGTCTCATTTAAAGTCATTATTTTGAAAGTTTTATGATCGATACACTGACCTTGTCAGCAAATACAATTTATCATTGAGTCAAATGCTGATGACGTTTTTCATACTAATTGTTAGTCCATTATTTACATACTGAATTGACTACGGATTTTCGTTATTTCCCTATCATGACAAGGAGCACACGGCGGGAGTGACCGGTCGACAGGGGCTGCTCTCTCCTCCATGGCACCTGATTCCACCTCTGATGTCTTGGAGGTCCATGTTTGCCCTGCTCCTATTTTATATTTTTATATGGTTTTTTGAGCTTGAAAATTGTTCGTTTTCTCCATTTATTTTATTCATACACCCATTTCTCAAGATAAATTAAAATCCAGGCTTTTTTGACATCATAGTCAAGCGCCTTTTCAATTCAAGAGGTCCATTGGCCATATAGCTCATCTGAGCACATTGCCTATGAAAAAGTAAATGTCAGTTCGGTATTGAAAATATTACAAGATATAAACTTGCATTTTTCACTACCTGAAACTGAAAATGCTCCCACATTAATATTCAACTAATCATGGCTTTGTTCTTGAGTAGACGATTTTTAAAGACTTACAATTGTAAAACTTCAATTTTTTTTCATATACATGTAGAAGGCTATAATTTCCTTACTGAATCGTCTAGGTAATTTACCGTTATATTCCCCATCACTACTAGGGGCACACAGCTGGTGTGACCGGTCGGCAGGGGATACTGTCTCTTTCATTATACCTTGTCTCATTTCTGATAGTTTAAAGGTCTGTGTTTGCTTTACTCCCGATTTGTATATTGTTTGAAGGAGCTTTTTAGAATGAGTACTCTTCCTAGTCTATATATTTCAAAACATTATCTCACCGATAGTCCGTGTGGCACCGGTAGTCCGTTGTTAGAACAATATGCGGAGTTCTTCCTAAAGTCACAGGTTCGAATTTCCTACAGGATTAGTTTTCTACATGAGACCGTATAAACTGAGGCCCCAGTCGCAGATGTACTGGAACAAAAAAGAATCCGAAAGTTCACACACCATAATACCAAGAGAATAGATCTAAATTTGCAATTCTCCATTGACAAGTCTTGGCATTTTAATATAATTGAAGAAAACCTTTTTATTTTGTACATTATCTGAGTGCATGCAAGTATGACCTAAATATTGAGTGACAGACACCATATTTTTAGCTCCATGTGATATGTTTAGTCGTCGTTTGAAGGAGTTGATAAATCATCATTCTTATACCTAACTGCGGAATGCCAAGCAAACTAAATGGTTTCTTCCTCTTGTGACGAAGTTTGAAAATTATTTATTTCATACAAAACTTAATCAGGATCGGAAGACCTGGTCTCCGTAGACTAACTAGAGGTACTCACCGCACAGTGAGAATTGAGCTCACTTATTGATACCCCCGCCTCCCATACCATTATAATGGCAAAATCATGTTTTGTTCTGGGAGACACGAAATAAGTGGCGGATCAAAAGATAAAATAGGAGGTCATAATGGCATTATATAAGTAATGGATATATGCCGAATACTGTTCTATATGTAAAATTATCAGACTGTTTGAGGCCCGTTAACAAGATTATTAATTTAATAATAAATTTTAGACAACAGAAAATAAATATTTCGGAAAACTTTTAACAAAATTCTGAAAAAATTCCCTTCATTTCTCTTATGTGGGTATTTGAAATAACAAAAATTTGAGTCTTTTAAAAGGAGCAAAAATTTTACTCTGCATAAACTCCAACCTGATTGAAATCAGATCCTTTGATCCGCTCGTATAGTTAGCATTCTGTGTGGGCGGATCAAAAGATCTGGTTTAAAACGGATTACCTTTTTTTTTTTTTAAAGATTTGAGTTTTTCCTTGAGCAACAAATGAGTTCAGCACCTGATAACACCAACTCTTTCACATCTGTTTCATATTTGGATGACTATAGACGGCAGGAGTTAATTAATAATCAACTAAATTGATTGACAAACGAGATGATTTCAATTATTCCATCTTGAACTTTCCTTATTCATATACTGGTAGTAATATACTAGTATTACGCTATAACCTACATATGTGCAACTTATTCGATACTGAAGATCGAGAATGATCCAAGTACAATGAGATTATATCATAATGTTATCAAAAATTATAGGGGGTTCTATTGATTGAATTTAATGATTTTTAAAGAATAATATAAACACGTAAATACTCAATAAATGAAAAATATAGAGGTTCCATTCTTTATCATGTCCTGATGGTATTTTTTTAATGTTAGCATATTTTTAAAGAAAGACCACATTCTTTCGAATATTGCTTTTAGCCAGAATATGTTTTGACAGCATCATTCAATGTCACTGGAGGAAACTTAAAAAAAAATTTTCCGCACAATCACTTTGTGTTACCTTGAGAATGTGTCATGCATTCATGTCTACTGGGGGGAAGAAATTCATGATATACGTGAAGGACCTGAAATTTGATAAATATAGTGAGGTCTTATATTACAAAACGGGGAGTTTATCTATGCATTAATGAATATTCGTACCTGATACATTTTTTGCGCAAAATTCAAGAGTGGATCCAGGGTTTTGGACGCCAAGTCATCACCCAGTGGGACCCGGACAAACACCCGACAAGATACTAAAAAAACATTGCCATTTAAATGTCCAAAAGTTACCTGGAGGAGTCCGATAATAACACAATGGGAGTTTAGGCATAAATTGTTTTCTACCCGTCTAATACGTAGATAAAAGAAATTAGACAGTAAAAACAGTGAGTGAACTCTTGTTTCCTTTCATTTATTCAACTGTAGTCGTTTAGCAAAGCAGGACAGTAGTCCGGTGGTGAGGGATTTTTTTTTTATTTTGAAACATCTTTTATTCATTGTGTGCATGAATTGACATTGATAATCATAAATTTGGGTGATATTATTACTATCACCATGGAAAATAAAAAAAAGAAATTCTGAAGTAATGCGGATTTTCATCCTGAAGTTTTAGTTTATATAATGGAAATTCTCAGCTTTTAATGTGTAGGCATCGGGGAGCAAACCTTATAAAATTAGGAGATTTGCAGACTCTTTTTCAGAAATGGATTTCAATATGATTATTCAAAGTGCTGTAACAAAAACATTAATATGGAAGAAGATTTTTAAATATTTCCATTTCTAATTTTTTTCTCTGTGATAACTGTTTGAAAATTGGGGGGGGGGGGGGGAAGTTATTTCTTGATAATTCTGCCGGAATGTAAATTATGCTGGTCAATAGGTCAGCAGATAAGGAGGCCTAATACGCATGCAAATCTCGTGCGCATCTGTCTCTGTGTCTGTCGCTAAGGAGGCCAAATATGCATGTAAATCTCGTGCGGCTGCCTTTGTGTTTGACGTCAGTGTGCAAGCACTATTGAAATTGGCATGGAAGTCATCGTGTAATTTAAATCTATTAGTCTACATTTTTAGCTCACCTGAGCCGAAGGCTCAAGTGAGCTTTTCTGATCAAAATTTGTCCGTTGTCTGTCGTTGTTGTCGTCGTCGTTGTCGTCGTAGTCGTTGTCGTTGTCGTAAACTTTTCACATTTTCATCTTCTTCTCAAGAACCACTGGGCCAATTTCAACCAAACTTGGCACAAAGTATCCTTAGGTAAGAGGAATTCAAGTTTGTTCAAATGAAGGGCCACGCCCTTTTCCAAGGGGAGATAATCATGAATTTGTTAAAAATTAATGGCATTTTTAAAAAATCTTCTTCTCCAGAACCGCTGGGCCAGGAAAGATGAAACTCATGTGGAAGCATCCTCAGGTAGTGTAGATTCAAGTTTGTTCAAATCATGACCCCCGGGCAAGGGTGGGGCCAAAATGGCCGACCCAAGTTTTACATAGGAATATACATGTATACAAAGGAGAAATCTTTAAAAATCTTCTTCTTCAGAACCACTGGGCCAGGAAAGATGAAACTCACGTGGAATCATCCTCAGGTAGTGTAGATTCAAGTTTGTTCAAATCATGACCCCCGGGGCAAGGGTGGGGCCAAAATGGCCGACCCAAGTTTTACATAGGAATATATAGGAAAAATCTTTAAAAATCTTCTTCTCCAGAACCACTGGGCCAGGAAAGATGAAACTCATGTGGAATCATCCTCAGGTAGTGTAGATTCAAGTTTGTTCAAATCATGACCCCCGGGGCAAGGGTGGGGCCAAAATGGCCGACCCAAGTTTTACATAGGAATATATAGGAAAAATCTTTAAAAATCTTCTTCTCAAGAACCACTAGTACAGGAAAGATGAAACTCGTGTGGAATCATCCTCAGGTAGTGTAGATTCAAGTTTCTTCAAATCATGACCCCTGGGGCAAGGGTGGGGCCAAAAAAAAACCCAAGTTTTACATAGGAATATATAAGAAAAATCTTTAAAAATCTTCTTCTCCAGAACCACTGGGCCAGGAAAGATGAAACTCATGTGGAATCATCCTCAGGTAGTGTAGATTCAAGTTTGTTCAAATCATGACCCCCGGGGCAAGGGTGGGGCCAAAATGGCCGACCCAAGTTTTACATAGGAATATATAGGAAAAATCTTTAAAAATCTTCTTCTCAAGAACCACTAGTACAGGAAAGATGAAACTCGTGTGGAATCATCCTCAGGTAGTGTAGATTCAAGTTTCTTCAAATCATGACCCCTGGGGCAAGGGTGGGGCCAAAATGGCCGACCCAAGTTTTACATAGGAATATATAAGAAAAATCTTTAAAAATCTTCTTCTCCAGAACCACTGGGCCAGGAAAGATGAAACTCATGTGGAAGCATCCTCAGGTAGTGTAGATTCAAGTTTGTTCAAATTATGACCCCCGGGGCAAGGGTGGGGCCAAAATGGCCGACCCAAGTTTCACGTAGGAATATATAGGAAAAATCTTTAAAAATCTTCTTCTCCAGGACCACTGGGATAGGAAAGATGAATCTCATGTGGAATCATCCTCAGGTAGTGTAGATTCAAATTTGTTCAAATCATGACCCCCGGGGCAAGGGTGAGGCCAAAATGGCCGACTCAAGTTTTACATAGGAATATATAGGAAATATCTTTAAAAATCCTTCTCAATTATCACTGGGCCAGGAAAGATGAAACTCATGTGGAATCATCCTCAGGTAGTGTAGATTCAAATTTGTTCAAATCATGACCTCCGGCCCTGGGGATAGGGTGGGGCCAAAATGGCCGACCCAAGTGATACATAGGGATATGTAGGGAAACCTTTTGAAATCTGCTTTTCAAGTATTTCAAAGCTATGATTAGTGATATTTATATGGAATCATCCTCAGGTAGTGTAGATTCTAGTTTGTTGAAATGATGAACGCCTGGAAAGGGGGGGGGGTAGTAAATACAAGCCCGATGTGCTCAGGTGAGCGCTGTGGCCCCTGGGCCTCTTGTTAATGTCTAAGTCTACAATTTTATTTCACAATGAAATAGAAATATAAGGAATCACTGTCTAGTTAGGAGAGTATGCCAGGGACATCAACAATAGTGGGAAACATGGGATAATTTTAGCATAATGGGCTTCGCCGGTTATGCAAATTATCCCATGTTTCCCACTATTGTTGATGCCCTGGCATACTCTCCAAACTAGACAGTGATTCCTTAAAAAGTTCATGGATCTGCTATTTTGAATCAATTTGATTTTCTTGCGATTGCTTTCCCTGAAATTTTTTCCTTACATTATTTGGTTTCTTGACATGTATGATGTTTTAATCTTTATTTCATTCTTCTTTTTGTTTTTTAAATACCATCCGATTTTGTTATCACTGCCGTCCGATAATATATTATCGGACTAATAATTATTATTATCGGACGGCTACAGGTAAAATTTTAGACAGCAGAACAAAGGAATGACGTCACGGCAATGTTTTAATGAAGAATGACTGAAAGTATGATTAAATTCTATTCAATGGTATAGGATGAGTTGCGGATAAGAGAAGGGTATACCGTTCAATATTACAGAAAGAATGACAGTGTCCATGTTTTGCTATGGAAAACTTGAAATATGCGTCCGATCAAATAGTAAAATAGGAGGTGCACTAGGCCACTATGTAAAAAAGATTCTGTGAATGATTCATTCATATTCATTCAGTGGTATGACTTGCGGATAAGAAATAAGGATACCCCAAAGCGCAACAGACGGACGGACGGACGGACAAACATCTCGGTCACTATATACCCTCCCACTTGTCAAGCGTGATGTATAATAAATATGAAAGAACTATGTACATGGGGGTTTTTTTTATTAACAAAATCATATTAAATCCTAAGACAATTTTCAAAAGAAGAAGAATCTTATTTTTTCATTATTATATGATTTATTTCCTAGATAATATCTTCATCAACTTTGATACATGTTATGGCACAATTAACAAAGAAATTAAACACAAATTCAAACAATTAACCGAGTACAGAGCTGGGAACGAAGGTATTTGTATTTGGTGGAGAACTAGAGTCCGATTTGTGAAAATTGTGTACGCCCTTGAGGGCCTTTGGAACAAATTTTGTCCAAAATCCTGTACGAGTTGCGTCCATTTTAGATTTTATTGAGAGTCCAGTATTGAGATCCATGTAGTATTCTGAGTTTAAATCAAATTTTGGCCATATCAGTGGGACAGCTCTAGGTTTGTTAGGATTCCTAAAATAAAAAATTACATTTTTCCTGAGATTAAACACTTGAAAAGTTATAGTTTTTATGTTATTTTTAAAACCAAATGCGAACTGAGTAATAATAAGGAAAAGCAGAATTTACACAATGCAGAATTGGTTAAGGTTATTCACCATTCTTGGCATCGATGAAACAGATTTTTCTTGTTTTTAGATTGGAAAGAGAGGAAAATAATTATGCATTCTAATGCAATCTTCGAGTACAAATTTTACAAATACATTAATTTTGATGATTTCAAAGAAGACAAACTTGTTCAACAATATGTAGATAACAGGAAAAGCTAAACAATCTTATTTTATCTTAAATATTGTCTTGTAAGAAACGCTACATACCCCGTTTTAGCAAAATTAGTCCAGTAAGTCATGATTTTCTCAGAAAGTGAAACTTCATCTAATTGAAGAGTGTCTTTAAAATTAAGTCCCTGTTGCATACTAGATGGAAAACCAAAAACGTAAGCTAGCTCGTCTCCGTGTCCCGCTCCCGGGGCCCACGGAATCGTGTGTGCATAGGACGAACGATGTGTAAAAAGATACATGTATGTGTTTCGTCCTGACGATTGTGTTTTTGCATGCGCACGCGCAGAAATTTTGGCTGGCATGAAGAATTGATAATCAGAGGACATATCAAGCATCTTTTGCAAATAAGTATTATTGGTTTGGGTCTCTGACCATCTAGTGTATACAAATGACATTGTGTAGGCAAGCAAATCAACTGTAGCACCAAAACGATCTGTAAGAATAGAATTTGTAACATAGTTGTCAATAATGTCAAGACCTGTGGAATTTGGAGTGATTTTACTTTGCACTAGTGGAAGAAGTGACACCATGGTTATAAATCCACCGTCTCCATCATTAATTCCTATCAAAAGGTCAAGATCTGCAAGAGTAGCTCTTCCCTCAGAAAACATTGTTTCCGGATAAAGAAAAGTATCTGGTGGAAGTTGTTTAACGAATTCTCCATCTACAACAGGGGTCCACTCGGGGCGGTATAGTTCGTCTTCTTTAGTTCCAACCTGTGCATTTGCAATCAGTTCTTCAAACGGTTTTGTTCTAAGGCAGTTCACAAGCTCAACATTTGTCGTCACTGAGCAGTTTAACTTCATTCCTAATAATTTAGAATATCTACCAACTGTGGCTTTTTCACTATACGCCCAAGGACACATTGCAGTTCCACTTTCTGAGATTATTCTTTTTATCAGTCCTTTATTTGGTGGATAAGTGGCATGGAAAAAAGAACTAGCACCACCTGCAGATTCTCCAAATACTGTCACAAGATTAGGATCACCACCAAAAGATGCAATATTATCATGGACCCACTGAAGAGCCATGTGCTGATCCCAGAGCCCATAATTTCCTTTAGATGTGTCATCATCGGTGGCTAAAAATCCTATTGGTCCAAGTCTGTAGTTAACTGTGACAACTACAACGTTACCAAATCCGGAAAGAGTGCTAGCATCATATATACTTGACTGTCCAATGACAAATGCCCCTCCATGAAACCACACCATAACTGCTAAATTATGCGCATGCGCTGGAGCAAAAATATTCAATGTCAAGCAGTCCTCTGAAATCATGGGCTTGCCTGGAATCCACTGCTGGGAAAACTCAGCCTTTTGGGGACAAGCTGGACCGTACTGTATTGCAGAGAATGCCTGAGTAAAACGCGCTTTCTTGACCGGTTTTGCAAATCTAAGGATTCCTAATGGTGGCTCAGCATATGGAATTCCGAGAAAATTATTAACATTATACATTATAGATTTAAACGATGAGGTGTTTGCGAATCCAATTATATTTCCTGCATTTGAATGCACATGGACACTTTCATGCTGACAAAGAATGAAAGGGAAACAAAATAGAAAAGGCAAATAAACTCTAGCTATATTCCACATGATTTCATAGAACTTGTGACTTCTTTCAACTCCTTCTCAGACAATCTATATGTCCATTGCACATTTATCTAATTATCCAGAGTAAGATAGATAAGACATGAATTTGACTTTCTTAATGATTACTTAATAACGAAACGTAAACTTACTTGTAGCTATAAAAATCGGTTTGTAAAAAAAATTACACTTAACATGTACATGTACTTAGTATTTAAAATTGCATTTTAAAACTAAGAAATATTTGAAAGAATCAAGAGTAGGAAATGATATTTCTGTATTGAAGTGTTATTTTTTTCATATTGCGTCCACAGAGAAAATATTACAGAAATGATTACCTGGACATTTCGAATCTCAAAATCAACCATATAAATTAGACATACAGTTCTTTTGTTTTCTCACATTCCATTATTTAAGGTTGCAATACAGTAGGCCAAATATAATTTTGCATTATTCCAAGAAAGAAAATTATTTTTAAGATACTCTCCACTACTAGTTGCACACAAATTTTTTAGAGAAGCATTTATCCAAACATGCAGAAAAGGCGCTTTTAAAAGCGATACTTAAAAATGAGTACCTCCATTTAGCCTTAAAGCAATATGAGCTGCAAGTTTGGCATGGAAAAAAATTGTTGCAAAGTAACTAACTATTTCAATGATAGAAAAATAGAACATTTATAAACATATGTTGTTCGTATTTGCGATGGAAGAACTTATGATAAGCTTTTCTTGAAGCAAAATTACATTATTGTCGTCCTGTACAACATTGATTTCTTATATAGTGCTATACATTCGACTGTACAGAAATACTCAGAACTTCTGAAACAATAAATTTAAATTTTCCTTTGGTCTATTTGATCATAAGAGTTTAAATTACACACAAATTAATCATAATAACACAAATAAATTTCTGAAAAATGCAGCTCATATTGCTTTAAACAATTATGCCTAAATGATTTTGAGAAATATGCTGAAAAATATAATAACAATTTTCTAGATAACAGTGAAGAATCCGCATTAATTAATAACTCAAAGGTACTAAAAATAAACGAAATATTGATAGGTAATTGTATTTGTACTTACTAGCCTGCATTCATGCAATATTTTTGAAAAAGATTAAGGCAGTTATAGTAAACAGAAATATAACCCGTGCCATTTAGTGGGTTTACACATGAAACCATATTGCATATTTATTTTCGGTGTATTAATTTATCGACTAGTGGAATATATGCTTGTCATTTTTGTAAAATAGTGTCAACAAACCGCACAGTATGCAAACATAGTGCACGTATTTACCAATTAGAAATGAGTAGATGGGTTTTATTCCATAAAGAATTGAGGGAAATCGTTTCGTTTGTATTTGGGAAAACGCACTTCATGCAGAATATTTAGTGATGTAATTGAAGGGAATGTTAGATCGCCTCAACTCTAATTAATATATGTACATGGATGACTAATGTAATGAGAAATACTAATACATCATCATTGACTGTAATTGTGACAATTAATAATTTACAAATTATGGATTAACTTCTTTTATTGAAATGACGTAGGTTTTGTAGATTAGAGAAAATTGCATGTTTTTGCGTGTTAATTTAAATGGAATAAAATCATCAATATCTTTTTTTATTTATCAAAAGGTAAAAATATACTTAATTTTTCTGCGTAAAGGTATTATAAGAATTGCATAAGTGGGTTTCAATTTTATTAATAAAAACTTAACTTTTAGTCGTTTTTTTTTGGTACTTTTTTTTTACCCATTACAAATATACCCTCTTTTGTATAATGCAAAAATTAAATAATTTGAATTCAAATGTCTTGTCTTTGTGCCTTTGTTAAAACTGTATTAAAGAGGCTTTTGTTTTTTAGTTTTTATTCATAATTTTTACAGTAAATTTGAAACAGAGAAAAATTAAATACATGTATTTATATATTTAATCTCTTTTGTAAAAAGTACGAAACGATATGAAAAAGCCCTTGGACTTGCTCTATCATTTTTAACATTCGAGGTATTATCAAAAAACCTATCAAATTTAGACCGCTTAATATGGCTTCATTCACAGTGGGTTTTTTCATACCTCTTTACAGCATCACATTAATATGTAGATTTTAGATAATGGTGCATTGTGTTTTTAAAATATTTTTTCAAATAAATACTTGGAGATTTTAGTTAAATGTCCCTTTTTCAAGTTTTTTTTTCTAAGATAAGAAATAAGAAATCTATACGAAGCGTGCAATAATTAGACAATTTAAGAAAATGACAACATAACATTTTTTTATTTAAAAAAAAGGGTTTTTTATACCCAAACAAACAACTAATGTGTTTTTACGTGAATATATCTATGATTATTATAGATATTATGCAATTTAAATTTCGCCCCAATTAAAAAAAATATATTTTTATTTTATCCATAGTCAAAGGGATTGTCTTGTTTGTGTAGTACGTTACAAACATGTCAAAAAAGTGAAATATGCTTGTATTCACATTTTTTGCCACATTTTTTCAATATCAGATAAATTTTTTCTGTACAAAGAACAAAGAGATATAAATCTTGTTATTGAATTTATTATCCGTGTCAAAAACATAGCTATGATCAGCAAAAGAACCTTCAAAAGACTTGCAGCGGCCTTTAATAGGACATTTAGATATTATACCGCATTTCCAACATTACCAATGTACAATATTTGCTTTCTTATATCGATTCGGTATATCTAGTGAACTTGAGATAAAAGACAACACAAAGTCTCATTATTCTGTCACATCTGTTTCATATTTGGATGACTATAGACGACAGGAGTTATTTAATAATCAACTTAATTGATTGACAAACGAGATGATTTCAATTATTCCATCTTGAACTTTCCTTATTCATATATTAGTAGTAATATACTAGTATCACGCTATAACCTGCATATGGTGCAACTTATTCGATACTCTAGATCGAGAATACTCCAAGTACAATGAGATTATATCATGATGTTTTTTAAAGGATTATTATAGGGGGGTATCTACTGATTGAATTTTAATGATTTTTCAAAGAATAATATGAACACTGAAATACTCAATAAAGGAAGCATTCTTTATCATGCGCTGATGGTATTTTTTTTTTAATGTTAGCATATTTTTTTAACAAAGATCACATTCTTTCGAATATTACTTTAAGCCAGAATATGTTTAGACAACATCACTCAATGTCACTGGAGGAAACTTAAAAAATAAACTTTCCCGTACAATTATTTTGTGTTACCTTGAGAATGTGTCATTCATTCATGGCTACTGGGGGGAAGAAATTCATGATATACGTGACGGACCTGAAATTTGATAAATATAGTGAGGTCTTAAATTACAGAACAGGGGGTCTATCTTTGTATTAATGAATATTCGTATCTGATACTTTTTTTAAATTGCCCAAAATTTAAGGGTGGATCCAGGTTTTGGAGTTAAGGGCCCAAGTCAGTAAGCAGGGCTCCTTTTGAAGCATCCAGGGACTCCCAGTGGGTCTGGAACAAGAACCCGGCAAGGATTCTGGGAGTAAATCCCTGGAATCTCATGGATTCTAAAGAATTCGTAGTTCAAAAATGAGGCTTTGTAAGTAGATAATTTCACTATTTTAACTTCATTTGTTTCTTTAGGAATGATTAGTATTAAAATATAAATATATCTTATCAAAGCAAAGCCTAAGCATGCCCCTAAAGCACCTGACTTGGAAGAATATCAAAACCTTTTGTCCGATTAGCTATTTCTTTACAAAGATTAGGCTATCATTTATCTTATATTTGACAGTTCGCCATTGGCGCTCCCCTCTTTTAAATTTGCCATCGATATAAATTTATTTTTCAGAGATATTATTCCTTATATCGATTTAAAAAGTTTTGCCATTGGACGCAAAAAACGAAATTAAGTTTTTGGCACTAATTTTCTGAGAAAAGAACTTAATTTTATGAAAAGGATGATTTTTTTGAAATATTTATACACCTGATTTATTATGCGATAACAATGATATTCATGAATTTTGAACACTACCCCATGTCTTGACAAATAAAATAATGAATATGTGATAACCTGTTTCACGTTGATACTATACACTGGGCGGAATGATAATTGGTGTCCAATAACATCTAAGTTTGCTATCTGTTTTTTACCTGAGCAGTCTGATATGTATATAATAGAGCGTGATTTATGAATGAAGCGTGTGGGAGTGTTTGTTTTGTGACGTAGCAAAGAGGAATTAGACTTGACAGACTGTAAATTCCTACGTTAGATACGGATTGCATAATATGTCAACAGTTCTTTCTCATTTGCCGGAAGTCTTAGGGAGGATGAACAGTGTTCAGGTATGTATAAATGTACACCGTGCTTCGATAGCATTCTATTATATTATTTCCTACTTGTAATCAACTTTTTGAGGAGAAATTTTAAAGTATAAATTTTCCCTCTCAGTTTTTATTTGATTTGAATCAAACATGTATTAAGGTGTGTATGTTCACAAGATTATACCCGTACTGCCTACAAAATGCACAACTTTTGTTTTATATAAGTATGTACAATATGCCATACGAATTAACTTAGTCCAAAATGTAAACTGTATATGATTATATGAAACAACACCTCATCTTTCAGTAATTCGATGAAAAAGGTATAACTAATTATAAAGTTGTGGTCACCCTTGTGAATCCAATACGAAGCGGAAAAGTATCTTAGAGGAGTAGGTACACCCATGTAAACTGACCATTTCTGCAGATAGCCCTTTACATTAATCATGTTTACACGGACTAATTCGTGATTAACATGATTAAAATTACTATAAAACCAAGGGCCTAACAATGTATGAGTAATATACAAAAAATCAATGGCTTAACGTGTTGATGAGTAATATATATATAAAACAAAAAGAAACTAGGTAAATTCATAATTTAATTTTACGAAACCAACCCATAAAATGTCATTAATAAAACAAACCGGAATTTTTGCGACTTCTAATAAGTCCAGCCCTTTTGAATTTCTCATTTCCATATGTTTGCAGCTTTATTCGTTTTCAAACGGTGGCTTTTCAAGTCTATATAGTTTACGTGTATGGGAATCCTTACATGTAATTGCAAACTATCCTACGAATGACCATCGATCCATTTTCCTGTCAACTGGGGTTAAGTTGTCCAGTACTTTACGTTGACCTCTTATAAAGTAAATAAACCTGATCAAAACAAACAAGAATTCAAATAAATAAGAACATCTTAGTTATTATTCCAGAGATAGGAGACATTTTTTAACAGATATCCTAACATTACTAAGCAATTTTATTTTAAAAAAAAAAAAGCATTTGGATAACACTCTGCTTGAAAGGAAAAACAGGAAAACGTAGAAAATATATATGAATTATTACTAACAATTTGACATTGCCAAAGAACCTCAACAACAAGTGACAGGTATGGTTTTGTGGTGATATCAGTTTTCAGAGGTGGATAAACATTATGCC